AGAAATCTTTTTAAATTAAGTGAGGTTTTAAAAAACACCAGCACTTTCTCAAAATCTCTACCAACAATAAAATATAGAAAAATAAAACGAGGCTTGTGTTTTAGATAAAAAAATAGTGCGATTCATGTTCGGCTACCTCAAAAATGTCCCTTAATCTTACACTTGAAGCTTTCCAAACATTGCACATTTTGTAAAAACTGTTTTCCTGAAAACTATATTACGAAGGACTTTTGCGGTATATGCCAATAAACGATTTATATGTAAATACAATCGCATCGTCCTCTCCCTTTTCTTTGTCCTACTTCCCTTACGACGAAGGGGAAAGTAAAAGTCCTCGGATTCAGGAATAAGTCTTTTTCGAGAATGCAATATCACCAATATCGACTGAAACGTGAGCTGAAACTTGGATAAAATCTTAACGTAATCCTTAATAATAAATGTCAAACAGGATACTCATAAAACGAAATTTCGTTCCGAATAATTATTCCCATTCGAGATATTTAACTTATAATAATAGCGAAGAAATACACTCTTACTGATAATTTTTCGAATTAAAAACAAAAAAGTGCAAATTGAAACGCAGGAAGTTACATTTTTCAATAATTTCCCACTTTTTTGTAAAACCATAGGCGGCGTAATATCCTTCAGCTGGGTATATTAAAAAGTAAATTAGATTTTTCTTATTACCAGCAAAACTTTCATCACCTGTTGATTCAAATTCAAAAAATGTTGAGATTTTATTAAAAATATATGTCTCCCTCATTACCAAAACTGAATTGTTCTGGCGTTTACCACAGAGTAATTTTCAAAATAACACATAGTCCAATCAATCTGTCACGGCCTGTCATGTTAAATTTACAAAAAATACCACCTGGAAACATAAAATATGGTGATATAGGAAAACAAAATTTAAGAAAGATAGTGTATTTTTCCTGTAGCGCATAAACGGCGAAGTTAACCTAAAAAATTCATAAATGCCAAAAAAACTGTTTTTCGCTAATAAAAAAGAAACTTAAACTCCAATCGAAAAAAGTTAAATGAGAAAGTTGTAGCTATTAAAAAACCTATTGATTCGTATTTTTTAATATTTTCTTCTTCTTCCATGGTTTCGTTCCCTATATTTTCCACGCAATTAACTTCATTTTCCACATAATTCGTTGCATCAATGAGTGATTCAAACGCGTCAAAAGAATCATCGTCTAATTAGATGTTTGGAGTCTCAAAATCTTCACATTGGGATACATCACAATGTAAACAAACACTTGCACATTTCAAAAATTTTTTTTACAACCACAAATTTTATTTTTGCAACCGCTGACGCAGTTACATGGTACTTTTTTTTCAAAGATAATTATGCTTTTGAGGCTGTCGCAAACGTCATATTTTGTTTTATCTCGTCGAGCTACCCCAAATTAAGTACAAAAGGATTTTTGTACGTGGTCCAGAAGTCGAGATAATGAAGATTTTGAAAGTAAGAGCGCTTTTGAACGCGCGGATTCAGTTTTCGGAGCGGCCGAGTAGCGTTACCCCCACTCCGCCGCCCGTTACAGTTAGATCGCACCGCGCTCGAAAAGGTGACACGGTTCGCTGCGAAAGTATGTGTGGTTTTGGTCGTATCAATATCATTCATTCCGTAACGTAACAAAATAAGGTTACGAGACGACACAGGAACATAAACTCGCATTATGAACCTGACTGCAATAATGGATTCGTCACTGCTGCAATTAGCAGCAACGTCATATATTTTTATTCATCATACAATTTTGAAGAATTAGAAACGGAAATCTCCGGAAATATTTTCTTTACTCCACTCCATGGCACAAACACAGAAAAACACACTCTTCCTAGTCACTGCAGAAAACAGACCGACCCCAGACCATATACAAAAGACTGACGAAACAAAAAATAAGACAAAATCCCATATGCAACAGACAACCCACTAAACACGAAACGTAAATGAAACGTTGCAAATGAGATGTTTTACTGAACATTTGAAACATTAACTAGAAACGTTTCTGTTTCATTACAGAAATGTAGCACTTGAAAACTTATTTAGTGAAACATAGCCGAAACGTTACAATTGAAGAGAGTTTGAAACATTACTCGAAACATTCCCTTTCGATCTCGGAAACATAACAGACGAACAACCCTTTGCTATTTTTGCTTATCTTATGGAACATTCGGCATTAGTTAAATTTTGCTCTCAATCCCCAATCCTTCTCAAGCGTTAGTTCATTTGCCTTTGTTATATAAAGACATAATTAGAAAAAAAAATGTGGTAGCATATTTATAACACAAGTCTAGAAAAAATGTATGTTCGTGACTTGCGTAGACTGCGCGTAACAGCCCGAGTTTATTTGTTTCCCGTGTGTCGTTTCAATTCGTATTATGTTAGGTTAGGTTTGCGGTTTGTCAGTTTGCTTGGTTTCGTTGTTATTCATCTTTACTTTGACGCTATTTTATGTGATAATTTGTAGTGTGTGCAGTTGTGGTTATTGTAAGGTGCATATAAAATAATGAATATTGATGCAAAATGTTTAAAACGATATGTGTAGAGATTTCCAATTTTGCGTCACATCTACCTAAATATAGTTATACCCACTACCTATTACAGACAAGAGGACAAGGGACAAGAACTAAGAAAATGGAACAACAACTATACGTTTCGATATAATTTGAAGAGCAACTACTTAGTCAGTGAGAACTATTTGAAATATGGATGAATCAAGTGAAATAGACGTCATTTATTTTATATTTTGTACAAATGTTTATATTTGTTTATGTGTATAGGCATGCTTAAATAAAAGAGTTTAGGTATACCTACAGATATTTACTTTGTCAAGATATCATTTTGTATCCTTATTTCTGCTGTATAATTTATTATTATTAAAAGGATATATGTAATATTGACCATGCGTAGAAGAAATTATAACTTTATATTATTTTTCAGTAATGTTATTTGTTTTTCATGTACCTACCATTTTAAGATTCATAATCATAACTAACTTTTTCTAATTATCAGTTCGTCATTGTTACCATATTCATGAAGGTCTCAACATTAGAAAATTTCCATTTCAGAAGCGTATTTGAACTATATAAAATGTGTAGCTTTTTTTTAATGCTTCTGATATTGTTTTGTGATATTTTTATTTGTACGATGAATGGCAAAATTCATAATCCATATTAGAAACTTTTTTCAGTGGCTTCTCAAAAAGAAAGAAATTCTTAGTAAAAGTTGCCGCATCCCCAAACTAGAAGAGCATATTTATTTTTTTTAATATACAATGTAACTTTTTTTAGTTCGAATTAAGTCATTCACAATACAAATAAAAATATCACAAAGGAGTATTAGAGATATTTAAAAAAATACTCACACTATTTATACTATTTCAAAAACGCTTTTGAAATGAAAATGATCTAAAGTTGAGAGCATTATGAGAACAATATGGTAATAAAATTATTATGTTACTCAAACATTTCTGAAAATATACTGAAACGTAAAACAAAAATATCGAGGGCATAAATGGAACATAAAAAGAATGTTACTGAAACCAATTTTTTGAAACGTTTCATTGGAAACGTATTTTGGGGAGGACATCTTGGGCTTCTAGAACGTTACCAGAACGTTGCATGGATTTTTTATGAAACGTTTCAAGAAAAATGGAAACGTTTCTGAAACATGTCAGAAACTGAAAAATGTTTAGTGGGAATGTTACGGCTAAATGGCAGAAAGTACTGTTACATCCCATTGATGCGATGACTAAAAACCGACAACTGATGGTCGTCCCGGATTAGTTACGCGTGTCAAATTTGTTGCACGTACCATGCAACAATTTTCCGTCTCCACTAGCTGTGACGTAACATGTTCGGTGTTACGTTACGGGGCATTTGACACAAATGGATACCCGCCTTAAGAATGGTCACTGTAGCACTTAAATAGCGACCTATGGAATTTTTTGAAAAAAAATTATCTCGGCTACAGAAGGTCGTAGAGCAAAGTTTTTTTATAAAAAATCCGCGTAAAAATGTCAGCAATCAACTCCTTTAATAGACATTATCGAGAAATGAAAATCGAAAAAGATATTCAAGAAAAAAGCGAGCAAAAAAATTTTACTTTCTTCAGTCATCTTTGGACACTTGAAATGAATAAAATCGTTATCACTCTTTTTTACCATGAGAGTACAACTCTTAAGGAAAAAATGAGACCTGATTCGTTTCTCTACGACTATTCGTCGAGCTAGAAGAGCTGATTTTCGAGATGACTTTTTTTTCGAAAAATCGCTATAATTCGAAAAATTTTTAATATTTTTTAATTAAAAAAAGTTAATTTTTTGCTTGCCGAGGGCTACATTTACAGCAAGTAACAAGTTTCAAAACCTTAATTTGCAGGAGATACAGCAAAAACAAAAAAGTCGATTTTTGACGGTTTTTTCGATATCTCAAAAAGTAATATTGCAATCGATATATTCAAAAATACTAATCGATAAGTTTTTTTAATAGCTACAACTTTCTCATTTAACTTTTTTCGATTGGACTTCAAGTTCTTTTTTATTAGCGAAAAACCGGTTTTTTGACTTTTATGAATTTTTTAGGTTAACTTCGCCGTTTATGCGCCACAGGAAAAATACACTATCTTTCTTAGAATTTTTTTTCCTATATCACCATATTTTTTGTTTCCAAGTGGTATTTTTTGTAAGCTCTTCTACCATGCATAGATCAGATACGCCGGAAACTTTCCTTGGACCACCCGGTATATCCATCCGTGATTTATATCAGTACCTACGTCCGACTGACGCCACTTATGTATGTTTTCATTTAGAACGTCGCGTAGACACATGTTTATATCAACGCCTATTTTAAAATCTATAAAACTACTTCTATATCCAAAATATTAAGTAAATTACTGAAACTAAAGAGGTAGGTTTATGGAAAATAGTCTATATATCTAAGTAAATTTCTTTAGTTTGATTATATTAAAGGTTAAGTAATTTGAAACATACCGTGTACCATACGCTGACGGTTTACATACGTGGTGTATCTACTAATCAGCACAACTGGCTCCTAGCATAGGAAATTGTCCGTGAACGTTTCAAGCAGGGTTTAATTAAGTATTTAATTATACGTGCCTCCAAAATTAACAGCCTACACACATATGTTTTTATTTAGATGTTTAGAATTTAGAAATTAGTTAGAATGCAGCACTAGAATCCTAATATACGAGAATTTTCTATACAGGGTGTCTCAGAAAAGTGATAAAATTTTAACCATAATTTTAATTTTACTTACATTTTTGTTCGGTATTTTTTACTCGTTAAAATAACTAATGATTTAAAGAAATACCTAAGTTGAGAATATTGGCACCTATTTTTGGAACACTCTATATCAGGGGTCGGCAAGTAATTTTAGGTGCGGTCCGGATACTTTTGAAAATTTTTAACGAGGTCCAGGAAAAATTCATATTTCTTTTTTTTTATTTTGATTTGGACTCAAATTTAATCTGCTTACTAATTAAGAACTCAAAACACTCACACAATTGTAAAATACTAGAAAAAATGATAAGATTGGCACTTAAACGTAAATAACATTTTTTAAATAATTTATTTGAGTAATTTATATTTTCAAAAAATTTTTGGCGGTCCAGTATTTTATCTTCCGCGGTCCGGACCTGGACCGCGGTCCGCCAGTTGCCGACCCTTGCTCTATATCATACAAGGGAGGGTGGAAAAATTTAGGTGAAAAAAAAAAACAAATATAATTGGGTATTTTTATTTTAAGTACTATTGAAATATAGGGAAAATGTACTCAACATTTTTTTTTATTTAAAGTCCATTCTTCTGCTTTTGTCCGATACAAACCATTTAATTATTTTTTTATTCATTCTTCATTTCACCGAAAACAAGCACCCCAAAGGGAATACAAAACTACTACGCCCACGTCGTTATTCCTGGGTAGTGCTAAAAGTAGTTAATAATTATATAGTTTTTTTAAAATGACCTTGATGTCTGATCTTGTTCTTGAGGTTANATTATTTTTTTATTCATTCTTCATTTCACCGAAAACAAGCACCCCAAAGGGAATACAAAACTACTACGCCCACGTCGTTATTCCTGGGTAGTGCTAAAAGTAGTTAATAATTATATAGTTTTTTTTTACCTTAAAATGACCTTGATATCTGATCTTGTTCTTAAGGTTAAATTCATATCTTCCTGCTCTTGTAATTTCCGAGGTCAAAAAAGAGGGCACCATTTAAAACTCAATTTGATCTTCAAACCTTCAAACGTCCTTGAAGTCAAGGTCAAGGTCATCTTCAAGGTCATGTCAAGATAGCCCCCTTTTCACCCTACAACTTTCGTATGAAACATAAAAAAACCCCAACAAGGTACCCCGCTGTCTCAAGATTCTTGTTTTTTTATGGCCATTTTATGGGTTAAATCAAAAAAATAATAACAGCATTTTTTTCTCGTTTTTCAATCAAAATCTGTGGTAAAAAATGGGTGTTTCCATTTAAAAAAATCAACAACCGGTGTAAAAATACCCCTTCCGGTCTAGACCGGAAGTCGAAATATGAACCTTTCAATGGCCCCCTCGGTACCCTACAATTTTTGTCTGAAACTTTTTTCGAAATAATCGAGTCCAACCGAGATATTATTTTGTCTCGAGATAAATGTCCCACCTGGTAAAGTAACAAAATTTAATACCATACCTGAACAAATTACGTGTATTAAGGAAAAAAGCGGCGAATAGCTAAATTATTTGGTTACGGTCGGACTAAACAGAGCCCAAAGTGCATAGTAAATATGTGCTACTCACACGCCGTTTTTCACTGCTGCGACGGTAACCATGACCACCGCTGTAAACACAGATGTAGCGGTGAGCTGGAAGGGGACCATGTCTTCAGAAATTTGCAAACGAATTTTGCAAGTTTAGTTAAATTGATTGCACAAACACATTATAATTTAATATTTCTTGTTTATTGTTTAATGTGATTCATAAAGCTAATCTATTTAATTATCCAGATAACATTGTAAACAAAATTTCAAATTAAATTTTTTTACTATGAAAACTTCCAGGGGGGCGGCGCCCCTGAGCCTCCCCGCACCAGCCGTCACTGAAGTTTTCCTACCCTTTTTTTTTAATTAATTCACGTTGTATTTCTCAGAATACTTTAATTAAATTTATTTAAAACTTATCTACAGAACAGACATTTTGCCGTTAAACACAACGGAAACACTTCAGGCGAGTATCATGACAATTCTAGAGTGCCTCAAGGCTCCAACTTGGGGCCATTGCATTTTTATTATTCATCAAAGATCTTCTTTATATCTTTTTGCCCTCGAATGTAATCAAATTGTTTACTTTATGCTAAAGATATCTAATTTTATAGAAAAACTGACATTGCAAAAGACTGTGTGGCACTACAGAGATACTTGGACAGGATTGTTACTTGGAATACTGGAAAAAAAAACACATTTTAATTTAAAGAAATGCTACCGACCTACATAACTTTTTGTCATGTTGTTCATTAATAATTTTATAAATGATCCAAATATTTTACGATGTATGTCTTTGAAATGTGCAATATTTTGCATTTCCTCACTTTCATATCTCCAGTATTAAACCCTAATTTAGATATTTCACTCTAAGAAACTTTTATAATTCATTAATTAATTAGTTCCTATAGCCTACTTTGATGTTCAAAAAATAATTATATAAATAATCGTACAATATTGCTTTTTTTTTTTCGTTTATTACCATTTGAATAACTGCAACCCAGAGATCTTAAATAGTTATATCCAGTGTCTCAAAAACATTTTTTGTATTTGGAAATGTGCACCACAGCTTTCCTTGATATACTCTTTGAGGTAATCATGTCGTTTATCATAATTTCCTAAAAGCAGTAACTTTTTTCAATTACCGTCACCCTTCTATGCTACAGGGTGGAAACATTTTTCAGGAGACAAAAACATATCCCCCTTTTTTTACTATAGATATGAATTAGGTAACAAATAATCACTTTTACAGTTTGTTATACCATTTTTGTATCAGAATTATTAGAATGGGAGTGGGGTGTGACTGAAATAAAAACATGTCATACAATTTCATGGTTTAATAAATTACACTGACATAAAACAAATGTTACATATCGGATATTGTAAAATAACAACGTAAAAAATTATGTTGTATAAATACATAAAAAATATAACTAGTTTAATCTAATTAGAACCAAGATAATTTATACAAGAATGCCTTTTTGCGTCTCTTTTTAAAAATAACTAGGAGCAAAAGTTCTTTGTATAAATTCCCCTCAAAAAATAGTAATTATCGAAACTAAGACTTCAAACGGGTTTTAAATATCCTTGACGATTCAATATAAAACTTTATAAAAAAGTAATTTGGCGTACAAGTATTTAACGTTTTTTTTTAATCAACATGTGCGTAAAACAATAAAAACAAAACATCATCACAGTTTTAAATCTTCAAATCCTCTATAATATATCTCTAACATTCTGTTTTCTTGTTAGGCCAACCAACAACTCGACATTGTGCTAACTAAGAAACACTATAACAAACATGCTTCAAATCATCGATCGGTACAGGCATATGTTCTTATCTAGAAGAAAATTGACCAATACGTGGTATAAAATACCATTAGAAACTTTAGAGCAGAAAGAATCCCTGAAAATGTTTCATTATTATGCAATGAAAAAGATTGCAGAATGATACACTACCCCTCTCTGCACAAGTTTTCGGCTATATTTTTAGTCTAATCTTTTAGATAGGGGTCATAGTGATGTTGCAGCAATTTTTCTGATTCCTCTCATTCCAAGCAACAAAAAAAAAAAGAATGATTTTTTCTAAAAATGGTTCATAAGGACTCTGATCCTTCAAAGATTTCAATTGAAGATATATCAAATTTGGTACAGCTTGAAAAATTTAATCAAAAGCAAATCAGTGGTTGCGAAAACACAATCTCAGGTCGGAAATGTTAATCTTTGACATATAATTTTGACAGCACATTTCAGGAGTACCTATCCGATTCGATTTATAAAAATGTGTGTAATTTTTAACTAGGTACTACTTTAAAACTTCTAAATATAACATTTATATCATTCCTAGTCCACATAAAGTTAATTTATCGAAATTTTTGCATATAACATTTTTATGGTAACTATCTGCTTCTTACGATGTAGGTAATTGTTACAAATAAAACTTTTGTACTATGCTTAAAAGTCCAAAAACCATGACAAAGAGACACACTTTTAGGTGACATTCCAAATAAATTAAAATTTTGTAAACATTTGCTTTTACTCAAATGAAAAGTAGAATCTACTTCCATAATTATGTGCCTCAAATTATTGAGAAATTAGAGCAAAATAACTAACTTTTAATTATGGTCCACTGTTAATCAATAGCCAAAAAAAGTCTATCCAAATCCGTCAACTAACATTCTTTTTTATTATATTTCTTTGAAAACATCTTATTTTTTATCGGTATTAATAATAACGTAAGATGGGCCTTTTCGTGCTAGCGCACAGAAAAAGTTTCCCCATTCATTGATTCTTTACGTGTGCTGAATAAAAATACTGCTTTAAAATAGAAATATACAGCCGATAAAATATACTCAGAAAAAAAACCCGAAATTCACGATAACATCCTAAAGTAAGCAGTGCAAGCAAACGTGAATTTATTACCAGTAAAATCCAGGTAAAGATATGAATATGAATATAAACTTTTTACTGAATGGCGACATCTGAACAAAATCAAAGCTGTAAGTGGCGATATTCTTCTAGTTTACTTTGTCTATGAAATCTTACATGTTATGGAGTCGGTTCTCAATGCTAAAGTGTTGTTTGGCCACAAAAGGAAATGCTAACATCAACAAATATCCAAAAACTATTGCTTTCTTGAAGTGTTAAGCTGTAGGATATATATACCAAAAAAGTCCAAAGTTGCAAACATCAAATTCTCTGACTTTCATGAATATTTTTAAAATTCCCTAACTATTCCTTGTTTTTTTTTTGAAGAATAACAAATTCCCTGACTTTTCCAGGTATTCCCGGTTTTCCCGACGTGTATTGAAACGGCAGGTGTTACGTTCAACACGTTGGATGCTATACCATCAGTGGTGTTCCGAAAATGTTGCAGAATACCTAAAACTAGAAAATCCCAGAAAATATACCGTGTATATACTCTACACGTTTTTTATATTCCTATAACTGTTACGAAAATAAAAATGTTCTAAGTTTCTTTTGTAAGTCTTTTTTTATGTTTAATTTTGTTTCTATATTTCCGTTTTCAAAGAAGTATAATAAAAAATATCGTTTATTACACTCCCACAAATAGAATTTTCCATGCTTGCACGAGTTCCCGTGTTCGGCTTCGTCCCACACGAGAATTTGTCACATCCTTATCCTAAGCAAAATCCTTATTTCCAGACTCCTAATGAAATGTACTATATTGACTGTTAAACCTTCAGATTACTTCGAATTCCGATGCCATTGATTAATTTTTGTTTCTGATCAAATTTTTACTTCAATATAGCCATATAAGAACGGCATAGGACCAAATTTGAAGGATTGTAAAAGTCTTAAGATTTATGTTATGAAGAAATGTTTTTTTATTTGTGCTGATGAGAGGAATTAGTCAGTTTTAAACCCTGTTAGAAACCAGATATCAAAGTTAAAAAAAAGTTGATTTATTGAACTGTTTCTAAGGGTTCTTTAAGGTCAATTTCCAATATCCACTTTCACAGGAACTATTCGTAAATGCTCTAAACATTTATCGCAGTATTTTAGCACAAACAAATTCGTTAATGTAGTTTCAGAATATTTCTAATAAAATTTGTGTCAAATTAATTTGTTAAAAACGCCTTATTCCATCTACAAACAACTGCTCGATTATTGTGTCGTGTTCTCAATTTTAGTGCCATTATGGTTTTACAACACGATCTATTATACGTATCGTTTTAAGATATTTGACTTTTTTTTATCATAAGTCATGAAATGTGAGCAACTTTGGTCCACAATAAAATTGAATAAAAACTTTGGCTTGGTATTTTTTTGGTATTAAAAAAATCTTGGTTAAGAAACCAAATTTTCTAACGATTTCTGCCAGTTTGGTTTGTAACTCTTTACTACGTAGTCTCAATCTTAGAATTGAATAGAAGCTAGAACTGATAACAAAGTTACAACTACGCTTTAGTTGCGACCCCTTTAAATTAATTTACCAACCGAAATTTAAAAAAATAATACTGGCACATGACATATAACACTGAACACCTCATAACATTAAAGCTGTATACATATAGGCTAAATATAACATATATAAAAAGCATTTAAAATAGTTTAACACAGAATGTAAATCGACAAACGAATTATATCATGACACATTTGCCCAGTTTCTGAAATTTCTTCTTTTTTCGTTTCTCATTATCGTTTTGGGGTTGGGTTCGTATAATTCTCACAACCTTAAAACACAAAGAATGCTTTTACCTCACATCGGCAACTAATTTGATTTCAAGACAACATTCAAAAGTAGAAATATTGGGATAATCCTTTTTCTTTAGCAATATAATCTTCTCATACTTAAAATGCATAAAAATAATTTTACTTACTTCATGAAAAGTCGCATCAATATTTAACGGTGGATCTTTTGCGCTAGTCTCAATGTAAGGTATCCCTAGCTTATGAGCCAAATCACGACCTTGTTCCTCAGTAACCTTCCTCAAATGTACCAAATCCACCTTATTTGCAACCAGTAACATCGGATAAGTATCCCTAAAAAAATATATAATCTCAAAAAACTAAGTTTAGAATATTTAAATCGTACCTGTCTTTAACACGTAAAATCTGCGTATGAAAGTGTATAATATTTTCGTAACTATTTTTATCAGTAACCGAATAAACCAACAAAAATCCGTCGCCTTTTCTCATGTATTGTTCTCTCATGGCACTAAATTCTTCTTGGCCTGCAGTGTCAAGAACTGAAAAACAAAAATAATTACATTCTTCTCAATGAAAAATTACATTTCTGCATGTGAATATGTCTCACCCCGACAATGTACTCACCATCTAGCATACACCACTGGCCATCGACTTCCACATGTTGCAGATAACTATCTTCTATAGTAGGATCATAGTCAGTCACAAATAATTTCTGGAAAAATTGAATCGTAATCGCACTTTTGCCCACACCGCCATCTCCTACAACAACCAGCTTAACGGTGGGTAAATTTTCATTTGGTGGCCTAGTCATCGTTCCTCTGGTGCTGTACTTCTTACTTTTGCTACCTATTGTGCTCTACAGTTAGCGTTCCTTTAAGTGAACTTCAACCAGCTTTTCTATAAAATAATTATTTGCAATTAGTGTTGGTAGAAGAAACGAGCTTTAAGACCTTACGAGTTGGTGAGCAATAATTCTGCTGTATCTTTTAAAAAATAATGTGAGAAACAAACACTGTATGAGCACTTATTAACATCCGCCTACTAGATTTACTATAAATAACATAACTGATTAAAGAAGGATGTACTCATAATAAACATTATCTAAATTAAGGTTCAAAAATACATAAATTACGGAAATATGAAAAAGCATACATTATTAGGGTTTATAAAATCATACCTGAGCATTATCACATCAAGTTAAGACCTATTTCAACTAAATTTATATAAAATTCGTTGTTTTTAACAAAAGAAAACTAATGATTAATGACAGAAGAAATTGTGACCTTGAAATTTTATCAATGTTCATCTGTCAATTTGAGAGTGCAGCCAACTTATAAAAAAAATCAATAATCACTTTTCCAAGTCTTGGATGTTTAAAATTAAAATAAATAAAAATCTATAGTATTTTAAAACACCAGAACATCAATACAAATTAATTTAAATTAATTAGAGCTCTAAATACAAAATAAGTAGCGAAGTACAATTCAAACTAGGAAAATTTTATATCTAAACGTGTCACTTGTCAAAATCTAAACTAAAAGCAGACGTTGTCAGATTTACCATTTATCACGACTTTCAACGAAAAATATATTTTTTGTTCTGGAAATGCAGCTAGAAGATACGGCTATGATAGGTTTGTTCCAACAACCGTCGGGAACTGGTTTGGAACCGTCATACACGTTTGTCCAACTCCGTCTTACAAAGCATTCAGCAAACATATGTTAACAACTCAACTGGCTAAATGTTTCTAACGGTTCGGAATAGGTTCCTTGCTGCTGTTGGAAAAAACCCAATACAAACGGAAAACTACAGTAAAAAAACTAGTTATAATTTTAAATATCACATATATGATTCAACCTTCATATTAGTCCAGTATTGTATTTTACATGGTTTTGTTAATTTTTATCCTGTAGACTACGAGCAAAGCCTGCTGGAGATGACGAATCGTCACGTTTATGCTCGAGATAACGCGATCGCTGATTGGTTGAATAGAGTCCCCTGAAAAATTACACCAACCACAGCTAGTGAAACAAAACGTTGTGTTTTAATGTAATCTTCATCTTATTGTTTTAATAATTTTTAATTTTACTGAAATTTAATTGCACATGAGAAGGAAATAAAATTACTGTTCCAAACAAAATTACTGGTCATGTGGCTTGTAATCATTTCTGAAAGCTCTGTAATAATTGGTTTTGTTTTGTGAATAACAATATCTAGTTAGTCAAAATACACTTATCTTTATTGAAAAGTCTAACTACATTGAATATTAAATGTAAACAGAGTTGAACGACAGTTTGCCGAGATTTCATAATTTTTATGGATAAACTTGGCAATCACGAACGTTCATCTTCATTAGTATTACAGGGGGACACTACATGACAATAATAAGAATGACTCAATTTTATAGTATGGTGTAAAAAAGGTTTTAGTTAAGTTCATTTCGTTTTAGTGAGAAAGTAAAGGGAAGAAGTGAAACACGTAACTTGTATTCGTGTACTTGATTGAAAATTTAATTATAAATTATAGATTTTACTGGGGAACGGGAAATATCAGAATAAGTTAAAGTAGAACTAAGGTAAGACTCTGACTTCACATGACTTAACAATACTAATGATATTAGTTCATTGACTTGATGGTGTAAAATGTATTCTTTATCCCAGGCACGCCTATCTGTTATTGGTATAATTTTACACAGAAATATGTCGAAGAAACCGGCTGTACAACCGGCGTTACATAAAGTCATTATGGTGGGTAGTGGAGGTGTTGGAAAATCAGCCCTCACCATTCAGTTCATGTATGATGAGTTTGTTGAAGACTACGAACCTACCAAGGCTGATTCATATAGAAAGAAAATCGTCTTGGATGGAGAGGATGTACAGATCGATATCCTTGATACTGCAGGCCAAGAGGACTATGCTGCAATTAGAGACAATTATTTTAGGAGCGGAGAGGGATTTTTATGTATATTTTCTATTACTGAAGATGAGAGTTTTCAGGCCACACAGGAATTCAGGTAAGAAACTATGTGTACCTACCGAACAAATGTGATATTGTCATGTTTTTATGAAAAAACATTGAATAAGAAAATTATTGTATATGTATCAAAGAAGCATTGAAAAATATATGTTTTATTTTTTAATAGGGCAACAGGTGTATTGTTTACTTATTTATTTATATTTAAAAAACTGATAACTCTAATTTATAAAAACCTGCAGGCACCTAGGTGTTTGTTATTAAATAAATGTTTTAATTGTGTGTTGGTTCCATAAAAAAAGATCAATAAAATATTGATTATTTGTGTAGGTACATCTTTTAAAACGAATTATAAATTCTGCATTTCTAAAAGCTATAAATAGTAAGGAAGTTTTAAATTGATATTTGATAAATGTTAATTAAAATCAATATGTGATTTTTAACGAGGTCAGATTATTAGATCAAATTAACGGTATACTAAAGAGAACATATCTTTTGACATGATTCAGTTTTCGTTTTTAAAATTTTATCTAATCGTTATTAGTAATTTTAATATACTATTTCCTCCTAGGGAACAAATTCTTAGAGTAAAGAACGATGAAAACATTCCATTCTTATTAGTGGGTAACAAAAGTGATTTAGAAGATAAGAGGAAAGTTACATACGCGGAGGCCAGCACAAGAGCAAAACAGTGGGGTGTTCCTTACGTCGAAACTTCCGCTAAAACTAGGGAGCATGTTGACAAAGTAAGTCTGATTTGTAGTTTATTGATTTATCTTTTTTTCATGTAGATATTCAAGGGAAATTTTATTATTGATCTTTCTGTTTCAACAAGTTGCAGTAGCTTATTTTCATAGTATGGAGATGCGTATGTTTAATAATGTTAATATTTCGATTCTGTCTTCACAGAAAAATTATTTGTGTGTTCTTTCCATTCTTGATTGACCTGGCATGTGCCATATGTTTTCCAAACACTAGTCTGTTTTATTGATAGAACACACATGTCATTCTAATTATATATTCAACTGTAAACCCCTTTCTTCTGTGTGCTCCGAATTTATTTGTCATACGTAGCAAGGTAATTAGCTTGAGTAATGTCTGTTTGTGTTGGTAATAACAAATACTAGCCTAATTTGAACCCTCCAAAAATAAATACGCGTTATAATTGTTTTTTTTTTATCATTCATCCATGCATTTTTAAACCATTATTTCTATTTCCTAAAATTTGTTATGGTATGGTAATCTTTTGTGAACGGAATAAATATGTACAAGGTTGTAACATGGAATTATGTGAAATTGAGTTCACGGGAAATAATTTGTACTTGGATGGAGTCATAGGTCAGCTTGTTTTAGTAAACTTGTCTTAAATAGTTGTAATTTCGGGCGCATTAGGTAATTTGTACAACTAGATGCTATATTTTAGCCGTCATACAAAGAAAAATATACGTATGTGCTACACAGTTAAAATTACAGTTTGTAAATTTAATGGTTTTTATATTTTAATATATTTATGTCATGAGTCCTTTTGCATAAATTTTTCTTGTTGATTCAACTAATCATATTTGGATATTGAATAAATTTAGACCACTTTTAAAATTAAAATTTGCATTTCCATATTAAATGTGATGTTCAAGGAAATTGTTAGGCGATGTTTAAAAATAAATATTCATCATACTTCAATTTAATACTAAACTCAAATTGTTGTTCTGTTTGTACATATTGATTATATTTTTATGCTTTACATTTTTGTCTACTACATTCATAGTAAATTTTCTATCCGAAATATATAAATTGTTATTATGTATCGAATTTTGTTTATGAGTAAGATCCTGAGTATTAGATAATAACTTGAGTATCAGGAACATTCTTTAAATATCTAAAAATGGATTAATTGTGGAATACACAAGCGCCAAGATAATTAAAAATAATCTAGTGAGATTTACATGTAAATACGTACAAGTGCTCAAATATTTGCTGGTTGATAAATCATCTTTTATCGAGGCTACATCTAATTCAACATTAATTTGTGAAACCAAAGTTTCACATCGCACAAGATAGTGATAAAACATATATGTAATTGTTTTTGTAATGTGATTCACAATGAAATTTAACTGTGATTCATGATGACTGATAAATGAAGACCCAAGAAAAAATAGTTTCATCGGCAAAATATGTATCAAACTTTGCACGTTTATGTGTTTATCATTATAATATTAAAATGACGTAAAAAGACAAAAAACTACCTACCATTTTTGAAATTGGTAGCCCGTACTTGCATTGTACAGGATGTTTCATGAATTCAAATTTGCTGATGTACAGGGTTATCTATGAATTTTCAAAAACTTATTTTGAACCATTTCTGGCAATTGATGTATTTTTGGTATATACAGGGTGTCCCGAAATTAATGCTCATAGATTCTTAAGACAAATTTGGGAGACCTCCTAAATAGGGGGCCACTTGGCAAAAATAAAAAAATATGGGTCCCCTAAATTTGTTTTAAGAATCTGTGACCAAATTTTGTTGCATTAATTTCGGGACACCCTGTATGTTAGCAAAAAGACTAGAAACAGAAATAAGGGTACACATAAAATTTATAGCATTGAAGGTCTGAAGATTTTAACTTTTTCCAAATATTTTCGCTTTTTTGAAAAACTTGAAATTCGTTGTACAATGTATACCAGGCATGACTCATAATTTGCATTACTCAGTGGTAAAATAATTTGTTTGGAAAAAAATTATGAAAGCATTGAATACAGGGTTCGTAGCGGCCGGGAAAACCGGAAATACCGGGAAAAGTCAGGGAATTCGTTATTCTTCATAAAAAACAGGGAATAGTCAGGGAATTTTAAAAATATTCATGAGTCAGGGAATTTAATGTTTGCAACTGGAAATTTTGTGAAAGCCGGCCCTGTGTTCTTGAAAGAGAAAACTATTTGTGGTTTTGAAACCTTTATAAGAGGTTCTTAGGGTATAAAAAAGATTATGGAGTCCAGTCGAGAAAAAATTTAATGCATAAACACCAATTAGTATGTAAAAATGAACTACAAGTGACCTGGATTTTATTTTTATATCAGGGAAAACCTGAAAAAGTCAGGGAATTCTTCATTACTTTTGAACTATGAACCCTGGAATATGACCAGTGACAGAGGGCACTACCGAATGTCTCAGAGGATCACCATTATCTCGAGAGCAATTTACTTCTGTAGTGACCTTAGAGCCAACATGAACTGAAATGATCATTAGGGTGTGCTTAGAGGGTCCGCCCCCACAAAGCTTTACCCGAGAAAAATAAGGGCATTGTAATTTAAAGTTTGCTGTTTTCATTTGCAAAAAATAATATTACAGGACATTTAGTTATTTAATCTTTTGCAGAAATTAAACCTATTGTAAATACTGAGACATATACAGGAGGAACTTTCCAATGTGACAATGTTTTTCCATTAAAATTAGTGTTTTTTTTTTTAAATTAAAATTGTGGTGAGAAGTAGTGGTATTATTATCAATCTGAAATATGAAAATATTCGCTCTAAATGTTCTTGTTGCTAAAATAATATTAAAAAGCTGATTAAAAAGGAATTTTCCTTCCATTATTTTTTCATGTACTTTCCACATGCTGTATGAAGTAGTACAAATAATATACAGGGGAAACTTACGTAGGCAGCAGAAAAAAAGTTTTCTGCTAAAGGTAAAAAATTATACCTAATAATTTGTATATAATGTGTAGAAAATTTCTATTATATGTTCAGTTGACCAACATATTTTAATTATTTATGTCCTCAAACAATTTTATTATATTGATGGTAAATTTCGTTTTGTTTCATTTCAAAATGTCTCCAAAATACCATGTTGTAATAATATTATTTCTCCCTTTCGCAATTGTAATATAAATGATTAATGGAAGGTGCTTATAAAAAATTAAAATTATCTAAATCACACCAAATTCCGCATTGCTACACTGCATTGCCAAGCGATCAAAGCAACTGTGTGGGAACCCGTTTGCCCGCACGCACATTCTCCAACTGGGCATATACATTTCTACCACCTCCACGTTTTGTTCCACCAGACCTCTGTATAGGTATGGCTAAATAAACGTGGGAACAAGTTTTTCAAATATTTCAATGCCGAGTTGCTGCGTAGCGACCGAGCCTGGTACATACCTTGAAGTTATTGGTTCTTCAATTGACTTCGGAAAAACTATACAACATACCTGCTTACAGGATAGCCAAAGCAACCTGTTGATCGCTTCCAGCGGTCAAAACATTGAAATTCACAGTTGTACTGTGAATGCGATGTACTGTGCCCAAATGGGGAATAACAACTGACCCCCCTTCACTTAGTCACTGTTGACCCCCGCACTATCTCCCTTTACATGTACTGTAGGTTGCCTACAATTCATGTATTTGTAATGTAATCAGTGATGGCGCACCGAAGAATTAAAGCACAGTTTAAAATCCTAATTATAACGACTATTTATTTGATTAAAAAAAAGAATTTCAGATTCGTATTCAGGGGAACACATGACATAAAAACTGACCCCCATTTAAAGTTATATACAGGGTGTATATCAAAATTAAATTATTTTATTCCAGCACAGGCAAAATGGAAAGTGTGACAAAAATATCAAATATATCATTTTTGTTGCCAATTTTTGTAATGTCAACATGCTATATGAAACATTAAAAAAATATATATAGAGGGGACTTTTCTTAGTGACCATAAAATAATTTTCCCAATGTGGTCCTGGAATTTTGGAATTGTGTCTTTGAACTATTAGCCGATGTTAGAGATATCTTTTTCCATATCTGTCTGCTTGTTGAGGTTTTTTTCTCTTGTAGGTGTTTTATGATTTGATGAGGGAGATCCGGGCCCGCAAAATGGAGGAGAACAAGACCAACAACGGTCGGGGGAAGGACAAAAACAAGAAAAAGAAACTGAGGTGTACCATACTTTAATGTGTAAATGTGTATGCTTGTTTTAGCTTTATATGCAAGATTATCGGATATTAATGTTGGAAAACAAACCCCATACATCAATATATTTTTTACCGGATTTGTTAACGTGTATTCAACAAATTTATAAAGACTATTATTATTAGGTGTATGCGGACAGTCTTTTAAATTATAGAGACTAAAATATCAAATTGGATGTTCGTAATGTATGGTTTGTGTATTATATAAAATTATATTGTTTTGAAGTATGAATCTGTTGATATAATAAAGGACTATTATTTTAAGAAGGTATTGTCCATAAGTTTTGAAAAGTGGGCAATAACTGTCGCTATTTTTAGGAATATTTATTATATGGTAGGATGTAACTTTTGTACGTAGTAACCACATTTTATACATCACACGTATTGTATGTGTGGGTCAATTCTGTTTATTTCATTTATTTTGCACGATTCTGTAGTTCGTTTTTGAGAAATATACTCGTAAGATAACCTCATTCCAAATCAAATATTTTTGTTACCGCTTTTTTCATTATCTACAGACTTAACAAAGATAAAGACTACATACAAACAAAATGCTCTATTTTGGCTAAGTTTTTCACATACTTTGCACTGCCATCGCAATATTAATAAAATCTTATTCACGAATGCATGCATGTTTATTTCAACCTTCAATTTGTTCGTTCCGTGTGTAACTGGGGCCCGTTGAATAATAATACATCTGCCCCTTTCTCCGCACAAGTTTAATTTTTGGGGTTTGTGAGGAGTGAACTTGAAAGGAAAGAAAATAGTGAAATAAACGCTACATAAAAATTAAATATAATTAAAAAAATCACAATATCTTGAGTACAAAAATGGAATGTAAAGTGGATTGCACAGTCTAAAAATATAATAGTACATACGGTAAAAAGTACGTTCAAAGGGCACGAAATGTAAAAACTCTTAACATTACACTAAATACTGAGATCTTACAAAATATCTTTAGTAGCACTATATAGTCTGAAAATTTTATTCTATACAAAATATCGAATATCAAAGTAATAATATAAAAAGCTTTTTTAGGCACAGGTTTTATACAATTTCTTTACATACATAAAAATACATCATCTTTACGCAAAAATAAATAAATTGAAATAAAGTCTTTTTTCCTCTGATGGCTACTTAGTCTAAATATAAAATAAAATTATTTAGTACAGACACAAAAATACTTAATTACTCATGGCGTTTGTTCGTCTAAAATATCAAAAAGAGAGCCAGCTTTAATACTTATACAGTTAAGAAATGCCTATTTAGCTTCGGTTATCTTTTTAATCCGTGTGTGAATATGGTTTCTAAAGAAATGTAAAAATGTTTTATTCGAGCAATGTGCACTAAAAGACTCCGCAACCATTCTTACGGAAAACCGGTCTTGGTCGAATTGTACGAAACTTTGCCGAATGATAGTCCTCAATGTGTCGATCAAAAAAGTCCATGGGACCTAGGTCTGGAAAACTACTGTTCTGAAGCTACAGCCTTCTGAAGTTATCGAATCCACGTGCTCGATGATCATCAAGTTTTCTGAAGGTGCTGCAGCTATTTTCTGAAGACTGAAGAATGCTGCAGATATGCTTATGACGGATAAGTGTTCAGCATACGTAGAAACAAGATGTCGCTCAAGCAGTACGTGTCGCTATCGCTGTTCTTCAGTAGGTGCTTCACCGATTTTCTGAAGACTGAAGGATGATACAGCTATTTTGACCAAGTATTCGCATTCAGCACATGAAAATACATCAAGAAACAGCCAGCTTGGTCACTTTATAAAGAAATATTTGCTTTTATTCGCCCATAAATTATTGGACCATCAAGGTCATCAAGCACGTGGATTTGATAACTTCAGAAGGCTGTAGCTTCAGAACAGTAGTTTTCCAGACCTAGGTCCCACGGGCTTTTTTGATCGACACATTGAGGACTATCATTCGGCAAAGTTTCGTACCATTGGACCGGGACTGGTTTTCCATAAGGATAGTTGCGGGGTCCATTATACACTTATTAAATGATTTCCTGATTTACACTGTGATGTCAGTAATATAATGTTTTTGATGTATTTTAGACATTCATATGAGCTGCTACATCTAAAGAATTTTAAAAATGTCGCGTTTCTACTGTCTTAAGTTAATCAGTTTATCATCGAGGACTTCATAACAAAGGGGCGTATGAACCAAATTACAATTTATAACAGGCATATGTTCATATGCCTGTTATAAATTGTAAGGTGATGTTCGGGAGATGTAAGATGGTTCATACACCTAACATAATAACACCAATAAAATTTTAATTATTGTAAAAATACTGATACGCCTGACTAAAAATATAATTTTCGTGATTTAGGTTCATACGCCCCTCTGTTATGAAGCCCTCGAAATGTTTTCTTGATTTAATGTGATTAAGCAGCAACAAAATGTTTCGTTTAGTGTTGTAGCCGTTCGTACGAGCTGTAATGTCTAAAGAAATTTAAGAATGTCTCATTCGAGCTGTCCATTAAAATAATAGATTTATTACAAGATTTCCTGCTTTGCATTGCGACGATCAACAATAAAATGTTTCATTTCGTCTCGTTTAGTGTCTTTTCAGCATTCATATGGGCAGCAATATCTAAAGAAATTTTAAAATATCTCGTCCGAGCAATGTCCTTAAATTCATAAATTTATTACACGATTTGCACTGCGATGAAGCACCAATAAAAGTTTCCTAGTCCATGTTTAATGTTTTTTAAATATATATGGTGTAACTGTTTCAAACGAATATGTAGGTAGGCTGCTGGAAAAGTTTCTGCAATCCACCACTTCCAGTGGCGCCAACGTTTTGTCAGTGTGATATCTGAGAAATTAGACGTTTCTAACCTATAAATCAGTTGACAGTTTGTACTCAGCGAAGTACGTTTATGTGCACAGTGTTTTAAAAGAAACTGCTGTGTAAAAATGTGTGTAAAAAAATTTCCAGGCAACGATTTACTACGATTACAGATGTAATCTTACTCCGAAACAATACATCGATCGACTGCATTTGGCTTTTCGGGATGAAACACCATCCGATAGGACAGTGTATAATTGGTTTTGTGAATTTTAACGGGGATGCACGTATTTTAGTGACAAATTTTCGTGACCATCCATGTTTGGTACCACTAATGTTGATGCGGTGCGTGGAATGATTGAGTAGGATCGGCATGTGACATACCATAAGATTCAGGCATCCTTGACCATTGACATGAAAGCAATACACACGATTTTGCGTAATCACTTGAATGTACGGAAATTGGTTACCACAAAATTTGACTGACGCTCAGAAAGAGACTCGTGTTAAATGGTACAAAGCAAAGCTCGAAAAATTCAACAGGCCGGTCAAATCTGATCTACAATATTGTTACTGGCAACAAAACTTGGGTTTATTTGTACGATCCCAAAAGCAAACGACAATCCACTGTTTGGGTGTTTCAAACCGAGTTGAAACCAGTGGCGTTTTTACCATAAGAGCTGCGGAGCTGCAGAACACATACAATTTTATGTATTTAATCATATTAAATATCAACAAAATATTTAAAGAATCCAAATGTACTCGCGCTAAAATAAATCTAGGAGCTTATATTATTATTTATTACGACGCAAGCTATGCTCCTTAATATATGCAACCTCATATACAAAATGTGTGCACAGCAAACAATTAGATGCGTCCTTTGTTTTTATTGGCTAATCAGGCACGTGACTCAGTACACTTTTATATGGGCTTTTGTGGCTGCAACAACGACAGCCACTGCTGCAGTAAATGCAGTAATATTTCGTACGTGGTATGTGGTGGTTTATTTCTGCGAGCGGCAGGTGTGAATATTTTCGTTTAGGCGTCTACGAATTTTATAGTTATTAAAATGAATAGCGTTTCGTTTAAAAAAAAACTTTATTTGGTTCTCTGCCTTATGAGGATAAACTAAAAATAAATGAATTAGGTGGGCCAACACCTCAATTAAATATTGAAGTTAGTGGACCAAGGCGAAGTAAAAGTTATAAAAGACAATTTAACAATAATGTACACACAAAAGCAGTGAGTGTGCAGGTGTGATTTAAAAAATACATTGTTTTGTTTTCCGTGATTACATTTCGGTGGGGATAAAGCATGGATATACAGTGTGAAAGATTTAAGTCATTAGGTAAAATAAACATAACAAGTCAGTTAGATTCTGCATATTGGGATAATATGGGAAACAATGAACAGGTAACGAAAAATCGTTATGTATTATCTAAAATCATAGATTGCATAAAATTTTGCGGAGCTTTCGAATTAGCACTTCGCGGACACAACGAGACAGAAAATTTGGACAATCCTGATGTGTTTCGTGGACTCATAAATTTTAGTGCAGATCTTGACGACATATTAAAAGAACATCTATCCACATGGGTATGACCGGGATTTTCTGTTATTGTACTGGGAATTAGCTGTATGGTCCCGGATTTCGGATTTGCATGTATAACTCCTGGAATATAATATAATGTACATATACACAAAAAAGATAAAGAAAAAATCATAACACGGCGACGAAAAATAAAATTCGTTGAATCGTTGGTAAACTTCACAATCGATTTTTTTGTTTATAAACAATATTCAATAATTTAATAAAATATATTTAGTTTATTCCAATTTATTTATCCCGTCAGTAGGTAATTCGTGATTAGATATTTGAAAAAGGTATCAATTTCAAAAATCGTTCTTGTGAAAATCTGTATTTTTGTAAAAATGGATTGTTCCTTGAAATTCAGAAGTGACCTTGAAAATTTTACAATTTTTCGCCTGCAGCGCCATTTAGAAACTCTCCGGGCGCTTAATATCCAGGAATTCAATTCAACAAATGTAACAACCCTAAGCAGAACACATTCAATGTTCACGTGCCGCCACTGGTTGAAACCAACAAAAGTACGCCTTCGGAACACTGGTTTCAGAGGTTACAGCAGCAGAGTGGAAAGCATACCTCACCAATTCTTTCGAGCATATGCAACAGTGTATCAATCTCAAGGGCATATACTTTGAAAAACAATAGCCATTTTTCAAAATTTACAAGTGTTTTTACACATTTGCAGAAATTTTCCAGCAGCCCACATGTATTCCCATGCAGTGAACTTTTGCAGATGGTACTGCAGTTAAGTTGAAACGTATTGTGCAGCGAAAAGATTAAAATGATATTTCTAAATAGGCATTTCTACATAAGAGTGTAGGGAATGTGAGCGGAACTCTTGAGGTGTAGAGAATGGCACTGTAAACCCTACAGAAAAAACTTAGTGTTTCGGTTTCTTAACCACAGTGATTTGATTTCGTTTAATTTTCAATCTTACCTAAATATATATTTAAGTACAATATACAGATACAGTATAGCTCTTCTCCTAAATTAAAATTCTGAAGGTAAATTCGGAATGTTGTTAGATTGTTACATAACACAGTCTTAATCGGAATGTTTGTTATATAAGTTTAATGAGTACGTGTTACTGAGTATTAGAATACGATTATTTAAATTTTACATTATAAGCATGTAATATATATAGCAAATGTCGTGAAGAGATAAAGGTAGGTGACAGGACTAAAAATAAGTTGAACCTAATAATAAATAGGGGTGATTTGTACACTTACTATAAAAATAATTATCATACCGAAGTTTCCTCATTTTTTTCTTCGATCCTGTAAGAAATAAACACTTGTGATAGGAATCCTTCGATTTCGAAACCTTTTAAACCTTACCTTGTTAGTATTCCCAAATGAAAGAGTTACTTGTTAGAATATTCCCAACACCATCTACGCAGATTTTTTAAGAATTATTATCAGAAAAAAAAAATAGATAAGCGTTCACAACATGCACGTTCAATATGGAGAATTTAATTTGACGCTTACCATGGTGAAAGAGTGACTGCAAAAAACCTGTGATTTTCGCCCGTTTTTTCACAATTCGCAGAGAATTAAAAAAATACATAAAAATACGTTTTTGGTCGCAAATTACATGTAAAAACTGAAATGAGCATAGTTTTTAGTATTTTGTTAGTTTTTAAAAGCTATGCTCATCTTAATTTTTTACGACGAGTAATTTGAGACCAAAAACATATTTTTATCTATTTTCTTTAGTTCTCTGCAAATTGTGAAAAAATGGGCGATTTTTGCGGTCACTCTTTAGAACTTGGAGATTTTGATATTTATGCAATGCAAGCAGTGTTGTAAAGTGCTCGAGAATTTTTTTAAGGCATTCACACCCCTTCGTTATATTTAAAATACATTCGTTTTTTGGGTTGCCACAAGTTAAAAAACTTACACTGCGCTTTCTTAACCTTAGCTAGGAATCTGTAACCTGCCCTTGTTGTTCTCGGGCTAGGCTCTGTGGGGGTGGACCTGCTGTCTGAATCCCTAGTCCTTTATTCCGGCCTTGGAAGCAACCACAAAAACTGGAATGAACATTAGGGTGGACCTAGGTGTTCTGACAGTGGGTCTGCCCCCACAGGTTATATATTTTTTTATTAGACTAAATTAAAAAAACATTAGGGTGGACCTAGGTGTTCTGACAGTGGGTCTGCCCCCACAGGTTATATATTTTTTATTAGACTAAATTAAAAAAAATTAATAAGTTTTTGACCTTTCCACTGCAGAAAGCGGATATACGCACGATGAAAGCGTACCCGCAGCACAGATATTGGTGATTTAGTAAACCTTTGCCTATAGCTTGTGTTTATCTATTATTTATTTGAAAATGATACACACCTTTCTTTTCCAAAACTGTAACTTAATAACATACAGGGTGTACGCAAGAATTATGCAACATATAAAAATAATGTTTTATAAATTTTTTGGAAAATTTTGTATCCAATATACAATTTGTAAAAGGATACGGATATGTGATTCTTAGAATATAGACCGCATTAGCAACAGTTATTTTTTATTAGGATTCTTTGAATAGTCAGAAATTAATTGTCAGAATAATTGTCTGTGGATTTATTTTAATTTATTATGATTTTTATATTTAAAATATATTTAGAGAATGCATTATTTCAATGAAACAAAAAAACATGATATAAAAGAAAACGAGTCATCACATTCAGTATGGGAAGCGGTCATATCCGAGACATAAAAATTACTTATTGTAGGAAATGTATGAATCCACATAACTTGCCCACGTCAACACGGAGTGTTCAGGAGTATCGTTTGAAAACAAGTGTCACAATGAAAGGGTTAAGTGCTTGTTACAGGAATTTAATGGTCATTAACAGAGAGCGGACAATTTGTCTTTAACCTTGAACATAGATATGTCATTCATAAACCTAGATACATGACATCCATGACGCAGTGGCGTGTCGGGTATGCATCGGAAATTTACGTGATAATTCACAAAAATTACACGGTATATACATTTTTAGGCGTTATAAAATATTTAGAAAATCAGAAATTGTATACTATATATTTATTAAATAAAGTTCGGTTAAAAATAGTGTTGTTCTTTTAATTGGAAATTAGGAGTCAATGTAACGAATATCCTCAGGCGACGCACATGATAGAATAGTCCAACTCACGCTCCATTCATAACAGGGCTGCAGTTTGAATTCTGACCAATAGGAATTCGATAAACGCAACCGATGTCGACGGATGGACTAGAGATGGGCGCGAGTGTCATTTCATTTCTTTAGAACTAAATTAACTTAATTATTTTCTCGTTATTTAACCTGTTCACATGATTTATGAATTTTAAATAAAGGGTACAAATCTTCGCGAGGATAATACGATATATTTGCTATACATAATAATTATATTTTGCATAGTTTATACACTATACATTTTTGAACGCGTACACATCTCTACCAAAATTTGACCTATTCTTCGGGTTAAAGACACACATTGTCTGCTCTCTAGTCATTAAATTCTTTCTGCAAGGCCACGCCCACAGGGAAGTTCCATGATTATGTGTGCAAAATTTACTATAAAACTCGCTGTTTGAGAGACTCTAGACCGAACATTTGATGGTGACGTATCGCTTGTTGTAACGGAAAATTTTGGCTTTATTTTATTTCGGTATCAAAGAGTGTCCAGTCCATCCACTTTGGAATTTTTATTGAGAAGGCATCATAAATACAATTCATTGCCAATATTAGAAATACAGCAGAGACAGTAAATAGGGGGAAGCAATGTCAGGAAATCGTCAATGTCTATTGTCTGAGGTGGTTGGCAATGTGCGCCACTTGACTTTTCGACGGGTCATCTGTTCGGGTCCAGGATTAAAACTTAGGTTTGATTTTGGACCTAACGAACCTCAACAATAGTATTAAACTTGTTCCATATTTTTCAATTTTTACAAAAGAAATGTTTAAAAAGGTTATAAAAAAAAGTGTGGCATACCGCTTGTGTAGCACAAAATCTGAGAAATCCGGAAAAAGTCTTGCTTTTGTGTTTCTAAAGAGAAGATTCGCGTGTAATAGTTTTTTAGTGCCTGAAGATTCGCGAATATAATCAAACTCATATTTAGAACATCCTCGGCTTTACAACACTAAATGCAAATACAGAAATTTTTTTTAAAATTTGATCTATAAAAATATTGAAATTAACTCTTACTGAGGTGGTTCCGGATGGTGTCCAGAATGTATCATGGAAACGGGTGGCATTAACGGAGATGGGGAACCCCGTACGCTACCACATACAGATCCATGAACTGACCCCAATACAGATCCTATTCTGGATCCCATGTGGGAGCCTATGGTTGAGCCGTGGTGGAAATCTATGCCCGGATTGTTAATGTCGTTGGTTATAGGCGACATCATCCGGCTACCCGGATGAACGGGATGCATGTAATTGTTATGGGTCGGAATGTGGTCTTCTTCGGCTAAAGTCGTAGAAATTTAAAGATTATTCGATGTGGAAAAGTAAAATGTTTAGAAACGAACTTTTTAACTGTTGAGAAATTATAATTTTTTTTTTCCAAAATTGGATTACGAAACAAGTTCATTTCTTTAAGTTTTCATGTTTTTTTTTTTTAAGAAATATTAATACACACCTTTCAATACATTATCTAAAAAGCAGCATTAAACAATAAACAATAACAATCACAAATAGCACAATATCACAAGCGTAACATTTATTTTCATGCATAGTACGAGGCATATCCACAAAGTAAGAGTACCGAGACTCTGATGCTCCGTGGTTTTTGTCTTCGACAAAGTTGGCAACACTGTATTCAAGGTCAAGGTGTTGGGAGCAAAATGAGTGCTCATTTGTCTCAGACAGTTGAGAACTGTTGTTGTAGTGGCGTGTTGAAATGAGTGCTGCTATTCCGAATCCCACCAACTGCGAGGTGAAGAGCGTAAGTCAGTTACTTCTTGCAAAGGGAAAGTCACTCTTTCTTTGTGACCATGCCTCGTAATTTCATTTAGATAATATTTTATTTATTTTAATAATGTTTCATTGATAGTCGATAGGTTGAAATATACACCTGCTAGACAAATTCTCGACTTACCCGTATACGGGAAGAGATATTTATCATTCATGTGATGCTTTTCCTCAATATCGGAACACCTCTCTGCGTACTCCTGATAATTCATATTGTCGTGGGGCATAATTTTGGGCATGTAGTCACCCTTAAATCCCATAGTGTTGGGGTTGTAGTGGTTATCGTAATGGGTACGGACCATGTACTGTTCCGACTGTAACGTGGGCAGACAAGTTTCGGGGGTGACGTCGGGGTTTGGGAGAGGATTGGGGGAGTTATTTTTGTGGCAGAATTCATTGTCCGAGGCTGTCTCTGCCGACCAACGACCCACCTCCGGGACTGAAATATAAAACATTTGTTATCGATTCACAAATGCGGAGAAATAATTATATAGGATGACCTGTTATTCCGTGTACATGTCCATTTTAGATGCTCGAGCCAAAATAAGACGGTTTAGCTAAAGTTGCTTCCTTCGTTATTAAAACAAGGCCAACCGTTCTGTGGCATTCTAACTTTATTTAAATGAAGCATAAATATATAATTTTTTTTATTTATTTACGACTCACTGCCTTCTATTTTAGACTTGGAGTATACAAGTATCAAGTAAGTTTAATTAAATTATCTCATTTTCATACTAAAAACATATAACACTCCAAGTACGTGAAAGATCGAGAAACTTAGTACAAAACAAAAAAAAACAATAAAAAAAGAAAAAAATGCAATAAAGATAAATAAACAAACACTAAAAAACTTAAAACATCAAGAACAGTTACCAATAATATAGATATGTCTTCATTAATTTTGATTTTACTCACCATTTGGGTTAGGCAAATATGATTCGGGCAGCTGGCTAGACCATCTAGGCCCATATGTAGGTTGAATAGCTGGAAACAGTTGAGAATTTGTAACGACGTTAAGAGAAGGTGGTGTGCCACATCTTGACACCACATGCTCCGTAATATTTGGGAGGTAACCCTGCCTACCTGGTCCCATACCTGGAAAAATTAATTCAACTTCTTACCATAAAAAGTAATTGAACATAATTTTTCAGTTAATGGTATATTGTTCATCGAAAACATACCATTTGGTCCCCTAGCCCGATGCCTCCTCGTACTAGACTCATCGTCATCGCTGGAGTGACTGGAAGCCAGATCCAGACTCCTACCCTCCGATCCGTCAGAATCAGAATCGGTGTCGCCCCCCCTTTCCGTTCTTCTCTCCCTCCGTTCGCCCTCCTCGGGTAATTCCCTGTGCCTGTGTAAACCCGTTTCGTGTTCAAAACCCCTTAAATAAGACGGAACATCGCTAGTGGAATTGTAATTTGATGTGGATGTGGAGGTGTGACGTAAATGAGTATCACTCCTACAAAAACATGCATGATAAAGACAATATACAATCTATTCACAAAACAGCACATTCAAAATATGGAACGTCATATGCAGTACAATTAGAAAAATTTCGTAAGTTGTTTTGTGACATACTGCAAAAGATATTTTTGGTTTTACGTTCTATTTTCTCATTTCTAAACATAATTATTTCAAGAAAAGTGAATAGATTGTAATTTTCAAAACACAAAAGTTCTCCCTATTAAACACAACATGCAAAAAATGGGGTGAATGATTTAACAGTGGTTCCCAAACTGTGACGAGTCACAGAATTTGTAACGTTAGCTAAAAGTTTTACGGAATATCTTAACATAAATTTATTTTATGTTAAAAAAAATGTTATGAAATAAATGTTTTTTCTTTCAAAAAATTATTTCTGAAATCAACAGGTTCTATATTCAAACATTTATAATTCTTTCTATCTTGTTCTAATTCCAGATTATTTTTTGGGTTAATTTTCGTGTCTTCAACAAAATAATTTTGCATAAATATGAACCTGCAAATGGTGTCATTTAAAAACATCCTATGCCAGCTCAGTACAATCTTGTTTTCTTTTTATTCAAAATTATTATTAAAGAAAATTATTTTAATTATAATTATTATGTATCAGCATATATTTAACAAAATAATAACAATAATTATCGATATTCTTCTGGAAAATTGTTAAAGATGTTTCAAATTCAACTTAATCAAGCACAATTTTCAAGTTAGGGTGGTTAGAAACAAAGGATAGTTACTGAACTATATATGACAAAAAAATATGTTAAAACATCGAATCTGCAAATATATCTGCAAATATATCCACAAATATAGGATACTGTAAATGCATACAGGATGATACTTTAAATGGGGGTTAGTTTTTCAGGATTAATAACAGAGCCCCACAAAAAAAATTGAATATCTGAAAGACAATATATTTATACATTTTTGGGTTCGCTGAATCCGAATCCGGTATCTGTTTGATCCGATCAGCTTTGGGTTAAGGTCAGTTCAAGGTCAAATATAAAGAATCAATTGCCAACAAAGTAAACCAATGTATCTATATGTTTTTGAGATCACTGAATCTGAATTTGGGTCAATTTTACCAGATTAGCTCTGGTTGAAGGTCAGTTCAATGTCAAATATATAGAATCAATTGCCAACAAAGTAAACCCATTTATCTGTATGTTTTTGGGGTTGCTGACTCCGAGTCCGGTGTCCGTTTGACAAAATCAGATCTGGTTTAAGGTCAGTTCAAGGTCAAATGTAGGGAATCAGTTGCCAATAATGTAAAGTAATATATCTATACGATTTTGGGGTCGCTGAAGCCAAATCCGCAGTCCGTTTGACCTAACAAAATCTGCTAAATATCCTCAATTTCTAAACTCAAAACGCTCAAGCATATATACGTATTAAAATTAGAGTACTTCTTTGAGTATACTTCTAAGACCTTCTGACAACAAAATAGTTCGATACCATAAAAGTGATAGTAGTCTCGATATCATAATAGTGAGATGTAGTGATTTCATGTGATTTATCAAAGTAAAAAATCTCTTATCTTGAAAAACTTTTCTCAAGAATCTCAACGAACAAGGACTCTGTGTAAATTAATGTACATGAAGAATTGAAGCATTAACGGACATATTGGTTTAAAGCTTGCTTAATTAGGTTCACTGATACTAGAATTTTGTCATGTGAAAACAATAAACTCGAAAGTAACGGGCTTAGAGTTAAAGCTTTCTTTCTTCAATATTATTTGTTACTCAAATTTTAATACGCATAAATGAATACTTGGGTGTTTCGAGTTTAGAACTTAGCAGATCCGATCAGGTCAAACGGACCCCGGATTCGGATTAAGTGACCACAAAAACATACAGATACATTGGTTTACTTTGTTGGCAATTGGTTCTCTACATTTGACCTTAAATTGACCTTAACCCAGACCTGATCGGATCAAACAGACATTGGATTTGGATTCGCCGACCCCAAAAACGTATTGATATGTAGGTTTACTTTGTGGGCAATTGATTCTCTACATTTGACCTCCTTGAACTGACCTTAATGCAGACTTTATCGGATAAAATAGATATCAGATTCAGATTTACCGACCCCAAAAATGTAGAGATACTCGTATGTATGATTACTTTGTTGGCAATTAATTCTCTACATTTGACCTTCAAGTGACCTTCAACTAGAGCTAATCGAGTCAAACGGACACCGGATTCGGATTCAGCAACCCCAAAAACATATAGCCAGGGTCTTGTCTTTCATATATTCCACTTTTTTTTTGTGGGGCTGAATTCTTGCTCTTCAAACTTTTGTTTATATCTTCCACACTGTGCGAGCTTATCACTATAGTCTGTTACCTTTTTAAAGATAGTAACGGAGTGACAGATAAACTGCAATCGAATATAATTTTAATAAAGTTTACATTTTTTTTGTCATTGCTGAAGCGTAGAAGTTTGGAAACCACTGGTTTAACATATACAAAAATGTGACAGCCACAGTTGCTCAAACATTACAGTAGAATTGTATGTTAATAACATGTTAGTTACATTGAAAAATTTAAAGAATTTAATTTTTTTTAATCAACATTTGATTTATTTGCCCAATAAAACAATTCACACTCTCAGTTATTTACTTACCTGTAAGGGCTAGAACTTGTCTTTGTGGTGGATCTGGAAGTCGTACTTGAAGTGGATATTCCGATATTCCTCCTGTTTGGATCCAAACTGGAATGGTAAGCCAAAGCCGATCGCTGCAAAACAAGTTTATAAATCTTAAAAACGGTACATTTGATTAAACAGCCTTACCGATTGAGTTGCACTGATATTTTGGCTGCTTGTACTTGGCACTCCCACAACTGAGGTTGTTTCGAGTAATGGTACCTTCTTACCCATGCACCTCATGATAGATCTAAAAAGTTTAAATAATAAAAAAATGTAAATCTGTGTGGGAACTGATATTATTTATTAGTTTTTTTTTGGGATTTATCGTTTTATGTACTAACCTTAAAAGGTTCTGCCTAACCCTATTGTTAGCAAAACAATATCCAGCCAACGAGAAGCCAGCATGGATCAATACCGCGGCAGATAAGAAAGGTGTCAGAAGTGGGTGCCTTTCGGATGCGTCCAAAAGAGCAAGTACCCAAGTTGCACCTAGTAAAGGAAGGGCGACAACAGAGACCCACAACAGAGTTCTAAAATGAAAAAGACTTTTTATAGTACGGAAATGATTGTTAATTAGTGGGCAACTTAGTTTTCAATTTTTTAATTCGATTAAAAATTCAATCGACTTCACGAAAGTATTTATGTGTGAAATAATTTGTTTAAACCCCTTTTAAACTGTAGTCGGCTGTAGATGTGGTGTTATCGACAGTACACCACAACTCTCTTTCTAATATTTTAATTTTTGACTGTTTTTATGAAATAGGAAGAAAATCGTTCAATAAATAAGCAATATCTCTTTTCTTGTTTACAGACGGTTCCTATGACGGGTTCTAAAGATCTGTGGTTTCCCAATCTTTGGACGATGAAAACAAAATATGTTCATTTGGGAATATCTTTCATTGTACAGAAAATATACACTAATGCAAAAAATTTAGATGAAAAATGGTCGTATTGGGAATTAAAAAGAAAGCATTTTGAAGGTCTAAGATTCTAGTTTCTAGATCTTTCGGTCGAAATTTTTTAGGAGCTACGGTTATTATGCAATTCTAAATAGTGCGACAAAAAAATTTTGCAAATTTTTTTTTTGGGCCAAGCCATTGCATGGACCAGATAACTTTATTCAGCTTCAATTTCCTTTTTTTTTAATTTTGATATGACCATTTTTCATCAAAATATCGGACTTTTAATGGAAAAGAATCTTTTTGTTTTCAATCATCAATAGTTCAGTGACAAATGGTCGAACAGAGAATTGACTGGAATAAATTTCCTATAACACGCTGCGGCAACTTTTTGGAAAAATTTTTTTTTCATCTTTTACACGAGTTTTAAAAAACAGGAAAAAAGAAGTAATTTATGTTTTTTTTTTTTAATTTGACAGCTAAATTAGAAATATTTACGAAATGACTAATGTTAAGCATGACTTTTACAGTTTGATATACCCAGAAGAAACTTGTGAAGTTTCATCTCGATCAAATAGTTAAACTTTTGAAAAAAATTAAAGGTTTTTTTTTTGAGCTTAAACACTTCATAATCATGATTAAAATGTATTTTCAAATAACGTTTAAATTGATAAAAAAAAACCAAAAAAATTCGAAAAAATTTAGTTTTTTTTTTTTTTGGAAAACCTTTCGGATATTGAAGTAAAACAAAACAATTTATACCGTTTTTTGAGACAAATTTCTAATTAATTTTTGAGCAGTGTCACTTAAAAAACAGCTTTTTTAAAAATTACCCTTTTTCTTCTCTGAAAAAAATTCAATTAAATTTTTTTTTCAATTTAAACGTTATTTGCGGTAAAAATGTGAGAAAACCTCAAAAAAAATCATGATTATAAAGTGTTTAAGCTCAAAAAACGTGACCCATTAATTTTTTTCAAAAGTTTGTCTGTTTCACATAAACAAATGATTCGATAGATCGAGATGAAACTTCACAGAGTTCTTCTGGGTATATTGAACTGTAAGTTGTGCTTAACATTAGTCATTTCGTGGATATTTCTAATTTAGCCGTCAATTTTCTAAAAAATCTTAAATTACCCTTTTTCCTGTTTTTTTAAAATTCTTTTAATACGAAAAAATTTTTTTTCCAAACTGCCCTTCAATACTCTGTACGACCATTTGTCGCCGAGATATCGATGACTGCAGACAAAAGGATTCTTTCTTTTCCATCAAAAGTCCGATATTTCGATGAAAAATGGTCATATCGAAATTTAAAAAAAAAGGAAATTGAAGCTGAATAAACAAGCTATCTGGTCCATGCAATGGCTTAGCTGAAAAAATTCTTCTTTAATCTTAGAGCTTCAAAATGCTTTCTTTTAATTCCCGATATGACCATTTTTCATCCAAATACAGTCTGTCAAAAATCACGAAAAAATTTCGGAAATTCGTTTGGCCCTTTAATTTTTTGTATTAGTTTAGTGAACATATGTATCATTTTGCTATTTGTGTAAACCAACACTTTCACTTGAATACACTACAGCTCACTGAAATTAGTAATTAAATACACTTAAAAGAGAAACACCATCTGTGAAAATAACAAATCACAAATATACTTATCAGCTTGTCAATACTCAATACAGAAAATACTACTCACATTATGCATTGCTCAAAACATTACACCCTATACAGTTCAGTAAAAAAAAATACATGTGTGTACAAAGCGAGACCATGTTTCGCATTTTAAATTTAATATTCATTATTATAGTGTATTGCAATATATTTTTTTTATATTAGTTCTTATTGTGCTGTAGTTAGAGATTATGTCTTCACTATGAAAACCAACGAAGAGTTGACTTTTGTGTTATTGGCTATTAATTTCCCATTCTAATTTGTATCGAGTATGAATTGTGTACATGTGGATGTGAAGATTAGGACAAGTTCTGCAGTACAAATTTATTAAATGTATTTTGTAATAACTAACTGCTTAGTTACTTTATTTTTCAATAATTAACTAACCTTTTATTAGATAAATATTTTTCAGAAATTTAACACATTTGCTTATTAAATCGGATGTTAAATTTTTAGACTAGCAAGACATTCTTATTGTAACATACCTGAGATTACCGAAGCCCAAAACGTGGTCCTGTAGAGTAAAGGCTGCCCTGATGGACAATACCAGAACACACAAGTTTATAAGAACTAGAAGGCATATTGGTCCTACGAGACTCCAGACGACACTCTCATATAGGGACACCCAACAACTATAAAAGAAAAAAATTAAACCGAAATTAAACAAATGTAACCAAAACTTACAAATAGTAGTTTCCATACTGATGAGCACGCACACCGACTGCCAAACTGACTACGACTGCAGGAGCGACGTATCCCATGCTATAGTAGAATCTCATGGGACCGTGATTAATGTCCCTCATCTCCGTCAACATCCTGTATAAATGAACTGCGTCGATGAGCATCCAAGAAAACGAAGCTAGCCAGAGGTAGTGCAAACCAATCGCTATTAATTTGCAAGCAAACTGAAAAGTAATAGAAATATTATAATTTTGTTGACAACGTTAAAAGTTACTTACCTCATTCCCTACCATGGGTTTTCTGGCTTTTAAAGCTATAAAATATAAAAGTTCTGCCAGAAAAACGCATAGCACCAAATTCTTTCTGATGGTATTAGAGTTGGTTTGTAGCCCTCTGATGAGGGCTAAGATCAGATAAGTTCCAAGCAGCAGCGGTAGAGAGATAGAAAAACAACTATAACTGGAAACGTCTTCTAATAAAGAAGGTTCAGGAATGTACTGTAAAGAAACGTTTGTATATTAACAACAAGTGTTTTTTAAATACAAAAAGATATGTGCAACGTAACGTGTCTTCTACATACCTCTAAATCAACCACATCCACTAATACTGCAAATGTAGTTAAATGATTACAACTGCAGTTAACTAATAGTGGAGATTCACTGTATCGGTCGAACCAAGTCTCATCTATCTCTGTTCTACAACCAACACGAGACCATTCTCCAAAACTAAAAAAAATATCAAACAGATAATTTTAAGACTAATTTCGTTTTTTTTTTCTACAATTGTGTGACCTTCAAAATGAGGCTCTCTCATTGATATACTACCTGCATAAACCCTTTTTTTTTTACTTCTTAGATAATACTGTTTTTGTAATACCTATATTTTATAATTTTTAAATCGGCACATATCAGATAATTCCATTTTAGGTCACAGTTATATGTAGTGTCTCAAAGAAAGTTTGCTTTTATGAGAAATAAAAAACACTTAAGATTATGTTCTGAAGAGTGAAAATTGGAGTTTCGGTTCTTGGTTTCAGTAAAAAATCTGACGAAATTAAGACCGAAACTGAAACTATATTTGTGAGTTTTCGTGCAACCTTTGGGAGCGATCGGCATAGTGGAGAGGGTCGAGTCAACTAGACTACCCTCATACCCTTCCCTTTTCTATGAACACAAACATAATATATTTGCAACTAGTTAAAATGAACAGAAACTTAAAACATATACAAAAGAATTACTTTAAAAGGAAGTTTCGGCCGAAACAGAAACAATATTTTTATTTGTAAATTAATGAGAAATTATCGTATTTTATATACAGGGTGATATATATTAAGATATATTAAAAAAGGCACAAGTAGGTCAGTGATTCTTAACCCTTTCGCTGCGCAATACGTCTGAACGTAGCTACCGCACCGTGCGCGAAAATTTATAGCGTGCAAACATATACGTCTGGAGCAGTTAGACCACTTATAGTTTTACATTATGTTGTGTTAAATTACGATTTACCATCAATTTTACAATTTTATTTTAAATAAAATACAATATATCGACAGCTGTACTAAATAGAAACTGAAAGAGAGATGAACAATCAGTACCAGTACCTACTTTCATAAAAATATTTGTCATAATCGCTATAAACTCCGCCCGCAAAAATTTCCCATACCAATTGCAACAACCGAGTCACTATGCGCATGGTTGCGAATATACAGTGTAGGAAAGTACCGATGGTCTATCAGAAGTTACGTGAGAGCGATAAAGTAAGCCATAGAAATCCATGTGATAGACAAGGATGGCTATAATGAAGGCGTCTAATAGTCAACGCCCATTTCGCCCTTCCACAAATAAGATCCACTTCTTATTTGTGGAAGGGCGAAATGGGCGTTGACTATTAGACGCCTTCATTATAGCCATCCTTGTCTATCACATGGATTTCTATGGCTTACTTTATCGCTCTCACGTAACTTCTGATAGACCATCGGTACTTTCCTACACTGTATACGGTTTGAGCAGCCTGATCCAATTTAACTATTCAAGCGAATTAATCCGTCTGGAGCAGTTTGAGCCCTATAAATTTTTAGCGAATAAATACGTCTGGAGCAGTGAAAGGGTTAAGACAAATTTAGGGGACCCGTATTTTTTATTTTTGCCAAGTGGCCCTTTCTTTCGGAATTACAGTCCCCTGAAGTCCGCCTCTAAGAATAATCTTTTTTTTATATCTCAGAACCCTATTGCACGAGAATCACTAAATTTGATACACAGGGGTTTTATGACATGTGGAATCTGACGGTGCTACGTTTTTTGGTGGGGAACCCTCTTAAGACAATTTTTCGTGGGCCGCCTTGTCTTTGGAGCCAAAAATATTAGGTCGCATAATTAAATTTCTTATAAATTATCAGTCCACTAGAAAGCCATTAAATTTAGAAGCTTTTTGTCTCTTTATACTTTTTTCGAAAAACGCAATGTTTTCGAGAAAAATGTCAAAATGTGATCGAATGCATATCGTGATTTGCCATTTTCCTCAAAAACATTGCGTTTTTCGAAACAAATATGAAGAGACAAAAAAGTTTCTAAAACCAATGGCTTTCTAGCTAATAATTACAAAAAAAATCAAATTTGCCAACAAATTTTTTTGGTTCCCAAGATAAGGGGGGGGGGGCACGAAAAAGTGTCTTAAGGGGGTTTCTCGTCAAAAAGCGTGGCACTGTGAGATTCCGCATGTCATAAAACCCCTGAGTACCAAATTTAGTGATTCTCGTACAACATGGTTTTGAGATATAAAAAAGACTTCTTAGGGGCTGTAACTTCAAGGGGCCAGTTGGCAAAAAAAAAAAAATACGGGTCCCCTGAATTTTTCTTAAGAATCTATGACCAAATTTTGTTGCATGAATTTCCGGACACGCTGTATATATTAGGAAATCCAAAAATGCCATAAATTAAAGAATTTGAATTGTTTCGCAAAAAAAAATTATATCTGCACCTGTAAATACATTATACCTACAAAACCTCATTTCGTAGGTAGTTTAGTCCAAAGTAGGACCACTCCATTGTAAAAACATAAATTGTTTACTACTGATACTGGGTATGTCTTTTTTTTGTAGTTGCACGGTTTTGAGTACACTTTTCGATTTGACAGTGCTAAATAATTCGTACAGTAGTGTGTGATATTATTCTTGATTTGTGGATAAAAATGGCACGTTTATGAAAACAATGAACTAGTGGACATATTAACTTACGGGGAGTGTTCACAAAATGCAGCTGCAGCATGTTTCTTGTACGCGGAAAGGTTTCCTTTAAGACATCATCCGTCTCCTTATTTAGTTATAAGACTCCGCGACACAGGGTATTTAAAGAAACAACGTGGAGGTCATGCTGGAAGATAAATTGTTTTTTTACTAACATGGACCTAGTGCTCGTGGTTGGGTCGTTTTCAACAATTTCTAAAATTTCTTCCTTGATCTCCACCATTTCGCGTGGAGGAAGTCTTCCAGCGTGACCTCCTTGTTGTTTGAGAACACCCTGTATTATCAATCTTTTTTTGCATTAAAATGTATTATGTAATTTTTTTTTAATGATTATTTCTATATCTTTTCAACAAAATTATTGCAACTTATTAATCAGCTTGTCACGAACATTGTCTTAAACATTTTAAATAAAGTAATTATTTCTCTACGCTTATAAGCCAACGAGAAATTTACTCGTTTCACCACCTTAAGTAAGATAATATGTTATTCTTACCCTTTGATTGTTGACCAGTGAACACACTGTGGATTGGACCTTTCGTTAAAAGCTGTGTAGTTCGAATCCAGCCACATCTGCAACCTAATGGGCGTGGGCAAGCGAATTCCAGACAAACTTTTATACAACAGCTTTTTATAAACATTTTTGTCTCTCCTCGTTCTTCCTGTTCCTGTTCTGAGGTACTGAGCGTCGTTTTCATGAATTATTACTTCCGGTTCGTCGAACATCCTCTTCTTCCAAGGGCTCTGATTATCTTTACCGCTAGGCGGACTGGCTTCCTCAAAAACAATGTTTCTCTCGGTGGTTTTAGGGGTACTGTCTACATATTCGGGTACTAGGACGCTGACCGAAATAATAGGCGAGCCAATTGTTATATCAACTCCCCATCTCCGTACCACGGAGTCATCGTAAGACTTCGGAAGCAAAATTCCTGCTTGTTTATACTGGGCATAGCTTATAACAGCTCCATCGTCGGGTAGGTTATTTTTAGTCAGCACCTCTCCGCTTTCTAAGGGTTTTATACCGAGTAACGTTAAAGGAATTAGAATACGAGTGTTTTGGTCGAACTTAGAGGTGTCTAAGAGGTAGTTATTGTATTTGGGAAAGGCCACAAGTGGACCATGAGCGTGATGCGACATTTTTTCCTCCAGAAATTGGGAGGTATCGGGTAGAATAACGCTTTCGGTTGTATAAGACTGTTGGCCTGGCAGAAGTTGTGCGGTGGTGCCAGGCTCAAATCCATATAACGATTCAGGAGTCACAACATCCAGACCCAAAACTAAAATATTAACCAGATTATTAAAATTTTACTTTAGCTGTATTCTTTTACATACCCATATTTGGAGAAACTATTTCGAACGGACTCGTATAAGTATCATGTTGACTCAACGATAAAATGTTGATATATTTCTCGATAAGCCCAATTAGTTGCTCCGCACTTTCGCCAGTTAGTTGCTTGATTCTCAACCAGTGGTCGTAATATTTTTCTGTTAGTATTATGCTAGCGGAATGCACCAAATTATTTATATAATCTTTATCTTGGCTATGCGTGAGATTCAACCCTTGTACCTTTGACTCGTAGTTGAGTAACTCTTTTATTAAGTCGTATGTTACCAGAACGTCGGCACCATACAAGTTTTTTGTTAGGTTAGTTGCCTGCTGGAGATCGAGGGCTAATTTTATAGCGACGAACGTGTTGAGTTGAAGTTCGTCTGATTTTATTTTGGATAGCTGTAACGATGAATTTGTTATTATAAGAACATATATGTGTATTTTACTTTTTATTATGTACTACATTTACTTCAAAGGCCTATTACTTACCTGCTCTCGAAGTTGGACGAACTTCTCTGAAGTACAATTAAACATATCAGGTTCCTGCCAACCACCCAATTCGTTATCACAGTTTCTTGAAGCCTTGCCGTATGACCCCTTAGGACAAGCTTCTATTGCTTCTAAACCAAATATGGTCCTCGGCCACCAAATTCCATTTGACGAGGACCTCGGACACCCATCATACACAACTAAAACAGACGAAAACTAAAGAAATCTTTACGATTTAGTTTACAATATACCTTCACACCCTTTTAGGGTTACTTCTGCGTAAGCATTTGGACAAGAATCACAATTTAGACCAATCACGCCATCCCGACACCTGCACTGGCCTGTTTCATGATCACACTGAGTGCTGTAAGATCCCACGTGATAACAATCACAAGGTAAGCACTGAGTTGTACCGCTCGGCTGGTAGTGATTTTCTCTGCAATGGCACTTCCCCGTTATCTTATCACAGTCGGGATTATAACCTGCATCAACGTCACACTGGCATGGGCCGCATACCGGATAGCCCCACCAGCTAGCCGGGCACGGTTGGGACTGCTTGTTCTCACAGTATTCTCCAGAAAAATCAGAGGAGTTGCATTTGCATTGGTAACTTTTTTGCTCGGATTTCTCTTCTATGCAACTACCGCCATTTTCACATGGTGTTACAGAGCAAACTGGGACACACAAAGGGCCTATGTGGCCTTCGTTGCACTCGCAGTGGGATCTGCCCCATTCGGTGACGCATTGCGATGTCGATGGACACTCGCTTTGGCATTCGTTAGGCGAGTAACAGCCTTCTTCCACATTTTCTTTCACCGTTGGTCTGTTCAGAGGTGTTTGCTGATTACCGATCCTTACATCCTGAATGCAACCTTTATAAGAAGTAATATATTAAACATTCGGTTTATTCAAGTAAATGCAGCTTATTAAAATGTGAAATATGTGCGAAACTCTTTTGAAGTTATGACTGACCATTACTACCTATAATATAAAGCCTCACATCTGAAGTGTCATAGAAGTTGGCAGACATATTGTACTAAATTTAATAATTTTGGAATCTATTACAAGGTAAATTATATAGGTAAAATGCAATTTAAAATAATTTTATGTATAATTATCGTAAATGTAAGTTGTATTAAATAATAAATAATTTAAACAGGTAGTAGAGTTGTGTAATAAATAAGACAATATTTTGTGTAAGTTATGTGTTATGTTATCCCAACACTGATATTATTCCATCAAAAAACTGAAATTAATATTATTCATATTAAGTAGATTCTGTAAATAGTAGAGATGTGCCGCGGGCGTGTCAGCTGGACATGTCGTGAAAAGTGGACATGTCCTGAGGTAGGACACTTTTCAAGATTGAAAAGTTGTATGCGCATACGCGAAATTATTTGTTGCAATCATAATTCCCGCAAAAAATTTTTGAGGTTGGTACATGTAAAATTAAAGATATTTAGTCATTTTCTTGTAATTTTGTTGGTAACTGTTTCAGTTAGAAATTGACATTTTAAAAATATAACCTCTTTTATGTCCCTATTTTATTTTTGGACGATTAGTAAATAGTAATCAGTTAATTCTTAATTTAACATTTAATACACAAATAGTTTATAAATGAAGTATGACGCCAAAATCAATAGTTTTGATATTTTTCTGAATTGAGTAAATAAATGTAACTTCTGCTCAAAAACAATTTTTAAGAATTCCAGTAGGATGGAGAAACATTTAAAGTGTATTCACTGTCCGGGGAAAATTAGAAACCAGTTTATAAAAAAGTCTAAAGGTAGATAATAAGTAAAATATATCGACACATACTCATTAGAATAAAAGTAACATTTTGCTTTGTGTACCCTCAAGCAGTGACCTGTGAAAACATGACGTCACTCATAGGTGCCTTATTAGATTCAAGGTCAAAAGTACTTTTCCTGACATGTCCGGATATTTCATCGACATGTCCGTAACACACTTTTCCGAAGTGTCCATCTCTAAAAAAAAGTGATTTTCTGTGTAAACTATTGCCAAGATGCCATTTTTTTAAACAGTGTAGGGCCAGACCACCTGAGGGAAACACAGAAAGAGAAAAATCATTGTGAGAGGGATTGAGTTTTAAGATATAAAGGGAAGTAGGAAGTTCCGCTCTGGCCATTAAAGTGTGAATACCATTCTTAAGGGGGAAACCACGTTAGATTAAAAAAATTGGATTTTTTTTTATTGTATAAATTGTTAGTATTATTATTCAAGAATACGCTGCCAACATTTCAAAACGAAATTCTTATTCATTCCGATTTTGAGTCTAAAACTGAATGCCCATTGGGTCAGCGCTACCAGCAGGTAGGGTGGAAAACTTGTTCAGGTAGTTTAGTTACTTATTGAGCAAGAAAAGATCAGAGGTAAGCTCAGAATGATGCCTATGAGGAAGAAGAAGAAAGACCGTTATATGGTGATGGAATCGCTGATTGATCGGAAAGCACTCTATATTATTGATAACTTTCTCAAATTTCTAATTTTCGGTAATCTTCAAACGTGTTTTCCTCGAAACGACATTTTGATTCACAGGAACACTAGCTCAAAAAATTACGAAACGATCGTTATGAAAATTGAAAGTAAGATTTTTTATGAAATTGCAAAGAACATGAACAAACAATTGGGATGATATAATAATTTTAAGTTTTTTTTAAAATTCGAAATAATTGAAAAAAATGGTGAAGATCGATACATTTTTTTCAAACACATGCCAAAACTTCAATTTTCACAGTTTTTACACGCAATGATGTTTATATTATTAGAAAACGTTAATAATGCAGGAAAACAAATCATTTTGCTTTCAGATCAAAATTGCGACCTTCACATTTCCCGTAAACAACCAACTGGGAAGACAACTGCCCATAACTTCGACATTTTCAACACAAATGACTGGAAAAAATTTGTAAATGTAGTTCAAAATACTGATAAAATAATGTCAAAGTTTGATAAAATTCTAACCAATTGACCTACTCAAAAAAAATTGTGAGAAATGCCTGAAAATCAGCCTCCTAATGTGGTTTCTCCCCTTAACCCTCTAACCCACATGATAATGCTTTTACTTACCTTCCAAATAATTATACCCAGCATTGAGACTACTGTACGTGTTATCAGGGCCACCAATTAGTATTTTCCCCACATACAGTCCTTGTATTTTCTCCGTAAACGGTATAACTTCATTATTTTCACCATAATCGATTGACAGTTTTATTTCAGTACCGATCCACGTCACTTCTATATGATGCCATTCACCATCAGACAAGACTTTCGAACTCAAAGACAAAGATTCTCCATTGTACGAATACAAGAGTAAGCCTCTGCTCAGGGAAATGACAGCCGAGCTATTTTGGCCAACTTGTATGGACATAAGGAAAGTATCCTCCTGCAGGGTTCTAATGGACAACGCATTCAACCAAGGCAGCTGGATAGGTCGGAGGAGCGGGTTAAAAGAAAGAGTCCCGTCTCCCGAAAAATGCCAAGGCTTGCTGATCATCTCACTGCAATCTTTTCCACCAAAACCTTGGGGGCAAACGCATCTGTACATTGCCCAACCTTCTATGCACTTACCTCCGTTTTTACAAGGTCTTGACTTGCAGAACGATCGTTTTTCTGGACACCCAGCAATGGTGCCGTTATCAGTAACAAATGTATTCAAATCTACGAATTTATAGTCTATCTCCAGCTGTGAGATGCAGCCCTCGTAATGGAGGTTACTAATTTGGAAAATACTCAAAACTGGAGGTACGCCTCCTAACTGCAAGGGACCTGTCAAGTCGAGAAATCTGTGGCAGGTTTCTGTAAGAGAGGCGCAACGATCTTCTAGTTGATGTTCGGCATATCCCGCGCAAGCCCAGTTTCCTCCTAGTTCTTTGCCGTGTTTGAGTGCTATAGCAGTATCACATTCGTCTACGGACACTGTCGCGGTTTTGTTGAAGTACAAAACAGATACGGAATGCCATTTTCCATCACAGACCCCTCCAGGAATGGAAGCTGTCACTTTGGTGATGTCACTTCCCAGGGAAAACGAGAACTGCACATTTCCTTTAACAATTTCTAAAGCGATGTAATCGTGTCGTTCGTTGTATCTCCCGTTATACAGTAAAAGACCGTTTTGTGCCTGAGTTGCAAACCGCAATTTAATATGCAGCCTGTGGCGTTGTTTTAGGCTGGGAAACGTTAAAAACGAGGTTTTGGAAAAGCTCCTGCTCTTAAGCTCGCATAGAGGCGAGTAGTGTTCCGCTTCAGTCATCAGATTGCATTCTTCACAAGCAAAACCTGACCTGCCCGGCTTTGGGTTGCACGTCTTGTCTTTCTGACATAAATGTTGTTTACAGGTGTCTTTTTCCAATTTTATTTCACAATTATCTCCAGCGTAACTCTCGGGGCAAATGCAAGTGTAACCTCCTTCCCTAACCTTACAGGTACCGTTGTTTTTGCAGGGTGAAGAGTAGCATAGATTCACTTCGGTATCGCACAAGTAATGTTCCCGGGAGCCAGTGAAACCTTTCGGACACTGGCAAGTAAAAGTAGTGACTGGATAAATAGGTCTGAATAAAACCGTATCGCTAGCTATAAATCCAGACGCGTTACCGAATTTTAACACGGTTAGACATTCTTCGTAGTTCAAGCATGGTTCCCTTACGCACAGATTGTCATCGAATGGTAGAATTTGTACAGTCGACAATCTCATAAGGATACCTCTGTTCAAATAAACTTTCTCTTGAAGAAACTGAGGGGAATAGTATTCTTCCTTAGGCACATCTGGTCTTCTAACAGAAAAACTAACATTTAATATTTTTGATTTCACGTCCGTATCGTCTTGTATACTGAAAATGAATATATTTTCTTTCGGACAAGGGATGATAGCAGCCAAACCATCCAAGAAAAAACCAAGCAGTGGCGACAAAAACGCTTCTTTCGTCATTTGATTCAAACGCACGGTGATCGAATTGAAAAGCATTTCATCAGTAATTAATCGCACGGAAAGTTGCATTATCGCTTTTACTTCATTCACTCCGTCACTCACAGACACTTCCATAGACGCTACTTTAGGCACATTGGTGTTAAGCTGCGGCGATAACTGCAACTGCCCGCTAGTCTCGTTCAAAGCGACTAAATTTGCGTTGTTTCCAGATAAAATTTTGTAATGCAATTTGTCGGATACGTCAGCATCGAAGGCCGGTATTTTACCGATGGGCCCTGTCGGGAAACAATCTTTAAAGTTGTTGAACATGACTTGAAAGTCTTTTAATACAGGAGCGTTGTCATTGACGTCTGTTACGATAACTTCTACATGTGCGTCACTGCGTAAAGGTGGACTAGCAGCTCTGATAATCAAGTCAAACTTTTTCTTAGGGCTTTCATAGTCCAATTCAACCATAGTGAGCAGTTCTGCCTTCTCGGAACCGGGCCTGGTGACTAGCGAAAAGCTTTGCGAGTCCTCGCCGCCGATAATAGAATATTGAACGATGGCATTAACGCCTTCATCAGGGTCTTTGGCATATATTTCACCTACAGTGGATCCAATGGGGCTGTTTTCTGGGATGTACAACACGATTTTGTCCGAATCGAAAGCCGGAGGAGAGTCGTTTACATCTTCTATTCGAATAGTAACAGGCACGGAACTACTCAGTGTCGGTGAACCTCGGTCTATAGCATAAGCTTCCAGTTCATAGTAGGCAACAGATTCTCTGTCGAGACCTTTATTCGTTCTGATAACCCCACTTGTAGGGTCTATTACAAAGGAACCATCTTCTTGGTCCTTTTCACTCAAGGAATAGTGGATTCTACCGTTTAATCCCACATCGGCATCGGTAGCCGAGACCTGAACGACAGAAGTTCCGACTAGAGCATCTTCCGGTACGCTCCCAGAGTAGGCCGCTTGTTTAAACACAGGGTAATTATCGTTCACGTCCGTTACGGTGATTTCTACATCAGTCGTGTCTGATAGTGGTGGGTTTCCACCATCTCTTGCCGTAACGGTAAGCAAATATCCAGAAACAGTTTCTCTATCTAAATGTTTTGTAGTTACTACCGCTCCTGTCTGTGGATTGATTGAAAAGACAGGATCTTTGCCTGTTTCTCCCAAGTCCTCTCCCAGAGAATAAGTTATCTGTGCGTTCAACCCCACGTCATTATCAGTAGCTGACACTACTAACACAGTAGTTCCAACTATAGCGTCTTCAAATACACTTGCTGTATAAGGTGCGTTCTCAAAAACAGGTGCAAAGTTGTTCGCATCGGTCACATTAACATAAACCGTAGCTGTGTCTGTCCTTCCTCCAGAATCTGTAGCCGTTACAGTCAAAATATATCTTTTCTCCTGTTTATAATCCAGTGGTTGAGCTATTGTTATCAATCCCCTTCCGTTTTGCGAGGTTATGGCAAAGCGCCCTCTGGTGTTACCATTAGTTATTTCATAATGAAGTCGGCTGTCTTCATCAGGGTCTGTCGCTGTGACTGTAGCAACTGGGGTTCCTGTTAAGAAGAGACAATTATTTGATTGTATTTATGTACTAAGACCAAAAAGTTGCATTTTTAGCAAGAAGCCAACAAGTTGGCAATACTATAAAAATGCAGGGTTTAACTGAGATACAATAAAATTTTTCCATCTATTCCTTTTCATTAACGAATACCTTTGATTTAGTGTGACTTGTTAAATTATTTTACACCCGTAAATACTTCACAGACTCGATTACTTCACATTCACTTTTACTTCACAACCAATTCTGTACAAGCAAAATGAATGTGAAGTAATTAACCTGTGAAGTATTTGTGGACATAAACCAAAAAGTAATACTTGTCAACCATAAGTGAGTTCATCAAATTGCATTTTTTGGCGAGTCAACAGAAAAATAAATTATAAACACATACCTAGCTGATCGTCTTCCGCAACTACGGATTCATAGATTTTCGGTTCGAAAATGGGGTCGTTGTCATTAACATCTTGAACCGTTATTACTACACTTGCACTTGCTGACTGAGGCGGAACGCCTTGATCAGTTGCAATAACCTTAAATAATAAAACGTTTAAAATTATTTTAATTTATCATAATTCGGAAGACTCACCTGAAACATATATTTAGGCTGGTCTTCCCTATCTAATTCTTTTGTTGTATATATCCATCCGGAATGAGAATCTACTGCCAGGGGCAAGTCCTCGGTGCTGCCCCCTGTCGCATCTCGAGGTGATAAAGTGTACTTAATTTCGGCATTAGGCCCTTCGTCAGCATCGTAGGCCTGCACTCGTACTATACTATAGCCTGTAGGAACATTTTCTAGGACACTTTCTTGAAAAAGTGAGGTGTAAAATCTTGGAGGGTTATCGTTTACATCTCTAATATTTATTAGTAGCTGAGTAGTGTTTGAGCGAGCAGGACTTCCACCGTCTTGTGCTCTTATCACTAAGCGATAGTTGCGAAGGGTTTCGTAGTCGAGGGGTTTGACTAGAGAAACATCACCCGTTAAACTGTCGATGGCAAACTGGGATTGAGTATTTCCGCTTATTATTGCATATCTTATTGCTGCGTTCACCCCCTGATCGGCATCTGTGGCTCTGCAAATGACAATTTTTAAATTAGTTAGAAGTTTAACATTGGCATATTAGTACAAGGTATTACAAAAAAAAAATCTATTTTTTTCCAGTGATTTTTTTTATTAACAAAAATTATATGAAAAATATTCGAATTTTGAATATCTTAAAAAAATGATAAATCTATTAATATAAATATATTTTTTTTAAACATGATTTTGACACATTGCATATCTCATTATTTTCTTCCAAAGATTCTATGGTCAACAACTTGATCTCATTCTTTGTGATACCTGTACAAAAAATGATATTTGTGCTTACTTGATATGTGCAATAACGGGGTTTTCAGACCAATTGATATCTTCATTTAATGAGACGGTGTACGTCCTTTCTGAAAACTGAGGATAATTATCGTTATCATCCAAGATATGTATAACAACACTAGCACTAGAGGATCGCCTTGCTGTCTGAGGATTAGCTAAATCAGTAGCTTGAACGATCATAGTATACACCTCGGTTGTTTCCCTATCCAGCATTGTCCTTGTAGTTATGACTCCAGTTTTAGAGTCTATCTTAAATGCGTGATTATCTTCCTCTTCAGAGGAGATTCCCCCGCCATTTATACTCTGAATAGAGTATTCCACTTCAGCATTTTTACCTATATCTTGATCAGTAGCCTTAAGTGTTATTACCGTGGTGCCTACGCTTACACTTTCTCTAATGCTGGCGTCATATTCAGTCATTTCAAAAACAGGTGAGTGATCGTTTGCATCTAATACGTTTATTTGTAGCATAGTAGTACCAGATCTAGGAGGAAAACTGTCATCAGTGGCAGTAACGCGGAAATAGTGCACGTCAACCAATTCTCGATCCAACTGCACTTTCGTATTTATCACACCAGATTTCTCGTCAATGTCAAACATTGCCTGAGTCCTAGAATCTAGAAGGCTCGTCATTGAGTAAGTTATAGGACTATTCTCGGGATCACGGGCTTTTACAGTGGTAACGACGACAGGTGGTTCACATTCCTCTAGAACGCTAGCGACATATAAATGTTGTTCGAAGAAAGGAGACTGATTCCTCAGTTCCCTCCTGATCCGTTTCGCCATGTCAGTATCGTTAAATTCTTGATGGTGGTAAACAATTTTGAGTCGATGCTCGGAGTTAAGAACAGGTACATGATGACAGAAGGTGGAGAATAAAATCGTAACCCTCCACATTTGTTCGACTATGCAGACGTCTCTACTGGCGACAAGATCGCCCTGACTGTGCTCGATTTCGAATCGGTCGTCGCTCACATAGCGAAACGTTACGTTGCAATAAGTGCTTATTGTATTTGGTAAAAAAGCTGTTATGGAGTTGATAAACTGAGACTGCCTCAGGCAGATCTTGTGCCATTTTCCTGTGGTTGGTATAGCAAAAGAAGCATATGTTTCGGATACCCATTGTTTGGCTTCGATAATTCTCTGCTTTATCGACGGATGTATGTGAGAAAAAGGATTCCAGGCATTTCTCCTGGGTCTCAGACTTCTTCTTTCTCTGCTAAATTCATCTAAATATTCTAAATTCTCCTCAGCGTGGTCCGTACAGTCTTTACCGATAATAAATATCCTTATAGGTAAACTATAGTAATCTATGTCTCTCAGTCGGTTAGACGTAGAATCAATATGTACCGTAAATAAGTTGGGATAATATATCCCATTACACTGTAGGCCCTCTATCAGGGAGACCTGCCCGGTTTTTGGGTCTACGTGCACTAACGACTGCACAAAAGGGGCTGATCTCTTGTCGTTGATTTTGTAGAGCCTGTCTGACCCCAGTCGGTAAACCGATGCGTTGAAGATCACATCTCCTGGTTGTAGTATGTCGTCAACTAGCAGCAAATAAGCGTGAGTGAATCGGAAACAAAAGGAAAATAATAAAAACAAACAAGTCCGATGGCAACTCTCACTCATGAGAGAATATCTTTTGGTCATCTTTCAATAAGTTAAACATGATAGGTTATATTCGGGGCGGTTTTAGAAGCGGTATAGGGGGTTCCCTCATATCTGCAAAGAAACAAAGCGGTTAGTACAAGGGCATAATGTTATTTGTTGATGAAATAATATTATAGTATTTGTGTTTTGTAGATTTTTTTTTAAGTTATAGAAAAAGCTTCAATTAGTTTTTTTTTACTTCCTGTACAATAATTTCTCATTGAGAATATTGAGATATCTGCTATTGAGCGAAAAGTCATCTTTTCTAATTAATTTGAAAAAGTGCAAAAAAATTACTTTTTCCGCTGTTTTGGAAAATCAACGACTACTTAGCGAATATTGCGATTTTTTTCTCAATTTCAGATTGAATACTTATCAAAAAATGTCGAAAAAAAAATGGTTGCAAAAATTTAAGATTATTTTTTTTAATGAAAAACATTTGGTTTTGAAAAAAACTGTTTTTGAAGGCTTCAGAACTTTCGAAAAAAGGAACAATAAATCGTATAGCAATGCACGTAAAAATATGTATGAAGATTCACTGATTGAATCCCCTATATCAACCTAAATTAATTCAATTAATTTTAACTCGAAATACGAGTATGGCATTTGGAAAAAAATTGCATCAAAACTGAACAGAAAATGATTCAGTATAATTTTCTGAATACTCTGAAATTTCAACATTCGGACATTTGAAATATTCAATGTGAAATTATAATAAAAGGTAACGCAACAATATTTTGAAAAATTAGATTTTTTTTCAAAACTGATTTTTTTCAAAATTTTGATTTTTTTTCTATAAGAAAAATAATGCAAAAAAATTTTTCATCTTAATCATGATTAATTGATGTTTAAGAAGTAATAAACCTGCTCCTTCAATTTTTTATAAAACTGAAGATTCAGGAAAGGAAAACAGTTCGATCGATCAATTTCAAAATTTACAGGCCTTATGCCTATTGAGCTAAAAGAAAACTACAAACATTGGTACTTTTCGCAATATTAGCAAAGTAGTAGTTGATTCTCCAAAACAGCAGAAAAAGTCATCTTTTGCATTTTTTCAAATTAATATTGACTATAAAAAAGATTCTCAGACATACCAAAAGGCCCTTAAAGATTGATTCAAGTTTCCAAAACCCACCTTCCGTTCGATGCACGATCATTAATTCATGAGATATCGATGATAAAAGAAAGATGACTTTTCACTCAATAGCCGGTATCTCAATGACAAATAATAATCGTACAGAAAAAAAATCACTAGTGTAAGTCATGATGTCGTTTATAAACAAAACAAAAAGTAAGGGTTCGAGTTTAGAACCTTGAGGTACACAAATATTTATTTGACTAAACATGAAGAATTAAAACCATAACATTGAACAAACTGATAAGTATGATTAAAATATTTTCAATATACAAGCCAAACCTAGGTACCTCCTACCTAGTTCGACAAAAGTCATAGTGAAATCAGAAAGATAACATCAACTTGATTTATCTTGGACGAATTTTAAAAAAGTGTCCTTGATATCGCATTTTATTTTAATTTAAAAATACTCTATGCCCTTTCTGATTGAACTATTAATTGATATAAAAACTTTCAACAAATTGGGTCAATAGTTTATGACCATAAAAATGTTTACTATATTATGTAAGTATAGTTATTTAAACAAACTACAGTTTTAAAAACCGAAAAGATAAGCGATGCGGAAAGCGCGCTTTGTAAAAATAAAAATACTCAAGGTTATTACAAGAGTAAGCTACATGGAAAGTAATCGTTAACACATGGTAATTACGTTAATTGCAAAAGTATAAAAAGTGAGCTTGAAATATTTCATGCAAAGGTTATTAGAAGTGAATTAAATTAGTCGCGGCTAATATGAATAGAAATGAACGGAAATATTTGTGCTATTACGGTATTAAATCTATGAGCTACTAATACAAATATTTGAAGTAGAGAGAGGAAATTGTTATAAACATTGCTACACCAAATATCTTGCGCTAACATATTATTTTGGAAACAATATGTGGATGGTCCGACTTGGACCAGCAAATTACCACGAACATATTGTTTCCAGGTCCACGTGTAAGAATTATACAACAACGACCTCGACAGGAACAAAACCATTAAAGGATTGTTGAACAAATGAAACTGTTTAGGCGCTATTGACAGTTACAAATGATTTCTTGTTAAATTAATGACATCGCACTATCTAATTGAATAAATATAATTTTATTATTCACTTAATTTCCTTCGGGGATTATGTTGTTGAAATACAAAATAAACTAAAAAAAGTTAAATAGATTGACACAATATTTAGGTATCAAAATTTCGAATTAGCCCTGAACAAGCTGAAAACCTATAATCGAGTTAATAGAGACGTAATATTTTGGCTCACAGGGTATATACATGCATAAAATATCTCATTGCTATGCAAGATATGGGTGCCACAATCGCGTGTCACTGCACTGCTTAACATCTCTTGTCTGTATATTCAAATAAGGCAACATTGAATTTCAAGGCAGGCTTCGGGTTGATTTCGAATTTAATTGATCCAATAGGGCACAAGGCGTCAATTATGTGATATTGGAAAGTGACAGCGCGATCGTAGGCAAGTTCCATTAAATCAAACGGTTTTTAAATTGGAATTCCGTCGAGCCGAAGTTATTGGAAATATTTCAGGAGCCAGGGAATATTCCACCTGCTGGGAGCGATGAGAGAAAAAGCCGACAGGCAGTTTAATGGTTTGTCGATTTTATTAATCGTTAAATGAAATGAAAATTCGAAAGAAATGTGTATTTTTTTTTAAATTTCAATTTAATTATTTAAATACATATACGAGCATACAGAGCGAAATTAAAAAAAATCCTGAAAGCGTTAAGGTTAAAAATTTGTTCGGATTTGGGAAAATCTTTTCTAATTTACAACAGTGTTTTAATGTTTTCTCTCATTTAAGCACTCACAATCAGTAAACTACTTTATCCAATAATGCGAACACAAGATTTGATATTCATGGTGAAATATCGCCTTTTGTGGGAAGTGGCATCAACAATAAAAGAAGTTACTGGAAAAAAATATTTGCTTAATCATTTGGTCGGTTCTACCAATTTACCACAAATACTGAAAGGAGTCCGTTCAATAATATTAAATAATTATTGCTTCACGTTTCCAAGAACCTCACTGGAACCGTTCGAATTAACAAATAATAGTATTTATTTTACTACACATGAAATAAATTAGAAATCTGCTAATTCTGATTACATCCTATCGTATAATCAAACTCGCGCAAAGCGAATATGCAATTATGCAATTTGGAATGGTTTTAAGTAGAGCTATTCGAAAAAAACAGAATCATTCTATCGCAGTTAATGTATTCAATACTGTTCTGAAGTAGCAATGAGAAAGAGAACGACGAATCATTACATCCTGGTGCTGTATTGATTAGTTTTTCTATTTTATCTAGTTTAAGCCATACTGTAGTGGATACTTCTGAAATTTAAGAATAAAACTGAAGTAATCGTTTGCAAGAAAACCAGCCGCTTGTTATGCTAGTTCGGTTTATTTGCATTTAAAAAATTGAACCTGTTCTAATACCACGTACTTGACACAAAATTATTACATGCATGTAAGTTACAATTCTCACAGAATTGAGAAAGCCTCAGTTTGAATGGTGATTAACGTCGCTTAATAGTGGATATAATTATCACATACTGTACCCGCATGTTTTGCAAGATTTACGACCATGATAAAAGAAAAGTTTATAATTATTTTAATAATCGATGGGCACGGAAAATTCAGATTAAACCACAGTCTTACGATGAAATGTTTCCGTATTTAGGCTTAGGGTCCGTTTTTTGCAGCCACCGTGTAAAATCTCGGGCAATTATTATTTTCCTGTCCCTGTAGAGTAGATTCTAGTCACGAATATTGACTTCTTAGGATGCAACACATAGTTGCAGGCTCAATAAAAATGGGAAATCGTCATTAGATACTGCAATTTGCCATTTTTAATCCAAAGCCAAACTAGTAAGGCAACTTGTCTTCTTTTCTTGCCCAACACGTGGTTATGGCTATATTACCGTCGACGTACGGTGGTTCTGTACACTTCTTCCGCTGCCTGTACAACACATAACCTGCTAGGAATGTTTTAATATACGTTATCTAGTCCATAAATAAATATAAACCTTTCAGCATCCGTTCTTAGAGGCTAAGGTCGTTAGACGGCAAGCTTTTTCTACCTGACCATCTATTTTCTTGCGTTATCCAACCTTTCATTAAAAAGTCAATTTTCTTGACATGGCAGAGATAATTTTCAGCTTAGGCCTGAACAATTTGTATGCTGGTGCTGATACCCATACAAGATATACAAGATCAGGCGTTTTAGAAAATGAACAAATTGAAAAATTTCTAATTGAGGCTCCTGATGATACGTAGTTAGGTACAAAGTTAGGTAATTTAAACAAAATATTATTATAAACGAAGAATACTATTATTATTTTAGGTGGCAATCATTTTTACCATATCTGGGGCGTGTCGATATGATGAATTACTTCAAATGAAAATTGGAGGTATTGAAAATATGGGAAATAGATTGCTGATCACTCTGTTAACTAAAAAAAACAAGAAAAAAAGATTCTTTATAGTAAGCAAATATTTAGACATATCGGAAATATAGTACCGCAAGACCTACACAAATAGATAGTAACAGATTTTTAATATGCAAATGGTAAAGCATATAACCAATTAGTAGGAATTCATACATTTGGGAAAATGCCAAAACAAGTTGCTGCGTTTCTCAAATTGAAGGATGCTCACGAATATACCGGACATTGTTTCCGTAGAACTTCAACTACACTATTAATTAGGAGCTGATACCACCACTTTAAAAATGCATGGTGGATGGAAACTTCAACGGTAGCTCAAGGCTACATTGAGGAGTCCATAGCTCGTAAATCAGTTGTTAGCAAAAAAATTTTCCCTACTGCAAATACATCGTGCTAGAAGCGATTTTTTAAATAATTCCATCACTTTGGAGGATTCAATAGTTCATAAACCATCTAAGTACTAGTGAAAACACTTCAAT